AGTCCCAGATTCATATTTCGCTAAGTTATTCGAGTTTTCGAAATATATTATCGCTGTAGATTCAAACCAATACCTTTTATTTGTTTTTCATTCGAGTTTTTGATGAATATCAGCTGAACAGAGTCATATCACACTATTGTTCTCAGTCGTCCTCACTAACTTCGTTTCCATTCTTGACAAACGAGAAAAAAAATACCATTTGTTGCTAGTGGTACATAACCACAACGCTTACGCAGAGAGTAGGTTCAGAACAAAGCATTATTTCTGTCACATACACATTGCCGTTACATTCACAAGTATAAGTCGCGGTACGAAATTCTAGCACTGACCGTTATTGGGCAGAAGTAAAAATTAAGACGTGTTAGGGGGAAACGAGGTGCGCGGGTGGGCGTGCGTTGCGCTGATTGGCTCTCCAGTCGTACCCATGCGCAGTAATCTCCTTCGCGTTTTGTTCAGCGCTAGAATTACGTGCCGTGGTTATTCTCACACAGTGTCAAGCAGAATTTATTGACCAGCGTTGTCAAAATTAACAGCGGTAGCTTTAAGTAGGTAAAAATTTTCGAGAAAAGTGGCTTCCTTCCTATTTTGTGGATCTTATTATGCGAACACTTCTATATTCCCCTGGCTGTCTGTAACAACGTTGAAAACGAGCTGTAACGATCCAGACCCGGATCCTAGCCCGGTGATGAGCTCTTGGGGCACCTCCAGCCCAGTGGTGACACCAGACATTTGGTCCAGGAGGCGGGGCGTGGGTGCAGCCAAACACGCGGTCAGAAGCACCAGGAAACTCAAGATGGCCGCCCCGCGATGGCTGGTCCTGTTTAAATTAATATAGTCATTTTTAGGCATGGCCACATATTTTGATGTGAAGTTAGGCTTTGGAGAGTTAGGGTGTGTGGAGTTGGAAGCTTGGTTCTATGTGAGATTTGATAACTTTTTGGCAGTGCAAAATGTTTTGGTGGGATCAAATATACAGAACTCAAGGTTGAGGAATGCTTAATGTCACTACTGCTTACACACTAATGATAATTAAATAAAATTCACCTTGTATTATGATGAGTTGTATCAAGCTTTACTCATAGTGACTTATAAATCATGCAATCGCTTGGGAATCACACCATTTTTGGGGCCCACAGTTACTATACTAAATATGTAGATAATCTTAGTGAGTTGCAACACAGAGCTGGTTAAAGTTAATTATTACTATAATTTTAACTATAGTTTGCGAGTCTAAAATATCATTGTGAAATTTTGTATGGAAACTTGATCAGCAGCGCCACAACGGACGTAACGAGAACAAAAACTCAGTACACTTTTGACAATGAAAATTCGCACTCGAAAACTATTCGAATTCGATATTGGTTCGAGCTAATGGTTCTGAACACTTAAATTTTAAGTAAGTTTGTGCAACTCACGCTTAATTTTCCCGTAAACTAAGTACAAGCCACTTAATTTGGTTTAATTGATTATTTAAAATATCCATAAATAGAAAAATAAAACAAGCCAAGAGCAAGTACTATGTAATAAAACTAGTTTTTACGGGTTAATGCACGAAACTTTATTTATTCATTGACGTTTCGTAGCCTTTACAGGCTTCGTCGTCAGCTACGAAACGTCAATAAATAAATAAATTTTCGTGCATTAACCCGTAAAAACTAGTTTTATTTAATGAGTGATGTGCGTGAAAACCTAAGAAACAAATAAGTACTATGTACTTGTAAACCGTTAATAAGCGCTGATACAGTGAGAAAGTACTTTCTCACTGTGTCAGCATAAGCTGAGGCAGGAACCTGATTGGCCATCTTAGATTATTATATTCTTTTTGATGTTTGTTTGTTAGGTTAAGTTTTCTTGTATTTTTTTTTTGTTTTGTTAAGGTAGCCAATAAAGGTTTCATATAATTTCATTTCAAAAAACTCCTTTGCAATATATTTATCAATGATTACTCAGTGATTTTAAAAACAAATTCCATAAAACTAGTTTTTCACGGGTTAATGCACGAAACTTTATTTATTTATTGACGTTTCCGACGACGCAGCCTGTAAAGCCTGTAAACGTCAATAAATAAATAAAGTTTCGTGCATTAACCCGTGAAAAACTAGTTTTATTTAATGAGTGGTGTGCGTGAAAACCTAAGAAACAAACAAATTCAACTTCGTTTCTATGAAAAGCAATAGGATTTTACTGACATAACTTGGAATAAAAGTGTTTCAATAACGCTACGAAACTTAAAAGGTCTTACTACAGAAAAAAATTGACATTGTTTTAAAGCCTTGTTTGGTGGATAAATTCTGTATGACATTTTTTCTTCAGCTGGTATTGAACGCATGGCTTACTGTTTTATGAAACAAGGAAATTATTTTAGTATGAGGTATTTATAACTAAAATCCTTAAAATATATAACTAACAACTAACTAAAACACATTATTAAAAGGAGTCCCTTTAGGCAAGGTTCCAAAGATACTGGCAGCGTTACCCCTTTGAATAGCTAGACTAATTCTTTGTCCGAGGTAGCTGCCAGCTCTTCGGTCTCCTGTGATGTCGACCAACCTTTTTGCTATTTCCTTAGAAAGCCTTACAGCGGTAGGACCCCACGGATCAAGGGTCTCGACACCGAATGGGACAAAATCATATTATTAAAATTATTTTAATGTCTTCATTGATACTTACATGGTCTCAAGATGTTGGTGTTAAAACTCGTTACTAGAAATACAGTATACACGTTTAAGATAATTGCACGCGAGAAACCAAACTGTTAAACTCTTTCGGAAAGATGATATCACAACAATCCTTAGATAGAGTACAGATAACTTCTTATCTAAAGATACGAAGTTAAAGTATCGATATTCGATAGTAACTTTAAAATTTAATGGCATAGAGTTCTTAATGGTATACCGATCATCATGATAAAACGAAATTTCTAAATTCTTGAAGTACTCATTCTAAAATGTTCTTTTGAACTACGTATTCACACGAGTACTCCCGCAGAGCTGTCAAAAAATGGTCTTTATAATCATAATCATAATCATTTATTTCGTAATAAATTAAATGCAAACACGTCAATAATAAACAGAAAAGAAATACATAAAGTACTAAGTAATCATTCAATTAATTCAAAATGTCACAAATACAATTCACATGTCGATTTCAAATTATATAAAAGTACATTACGGAGTCAGAACAATAGGGGTGATGACGGGGTACAGTAAACGAAAATCTATTTAGTCCGTCAGTTAGATGATCAAAAAATAATAGACACGTATTTTTTCTTTGGGCAATCAACCAAAAAATGACAAAGTTATAGCGCGTCAAAGTTTGGGAGTAGGGGCTCGTGACGTCACTTTTGAGTGAATTTTCCCCTATAAGTGTACTCAAACGTGACGTCATGCGACTTTTCAAATCAATATATTTCTGCAATGTTTATATTATGTGAAAAAAGAAAAAATACTTGTCCAATACTTTTTGATAATCTACCTGATAAACGAAGAAAAAAAAATTAGTCATCATCCCTATTAAAATACAATATTTTTAGTTTGAAAAAATTCAAAATGTGAAATACAAATATGTCAAAATACAAATGTCAAATAGAAATAATAAAACAAAAAAAATGAATTAATAAATTAATAGTCATTCAATATTATAAAAAAATAATTTATCAGTCCAATTAATGCAAGGATCTATCATTTAAAAATTCATCGACACTATAAAAGGTTCTGTCAATGAGCCATAATTTTAATTTATGTTTTAAATTATTAAGCGACTTGGCGTCAGTGACCAACTTAGGTAACAAGTTATATACCGTCGAACCCATGACATGAGTTAGAGAGAGAGTGAGAGGCTTTACGATTTTGATTGTTGTATCAAATTCGCTATGGGTTTTTCGTTAGTGCTGGCGTTAGTAGTCTAGTATGCTCTTCACCGACGTCCCTGTTATCTTTAAACCTAGTAAAATTCATCAAAGTTGGCTCAGCGGCTTCAACGCGAAAAGATAACAGACAGACAGGTTTTTGCATAAAATATTTTAAGATTAATATGATTAAGTACGGATATCCATCGGTTGGCTCATAATGCCATATTTTTTGTAGTAGGCGCTCTGTCTTTAATCCACAAACTATATAGTGATGCTAGCGCATTTTTGATGTTAGTAGCAGTAATACTGAAACAGGATATAGGATACAGTAACTCACACACACACGATATAGACGGTTATATCTGTGGAATGTTTCCTCTGGCTAGAACTAGAAAACCAAAGAGGAAACAAAAGCATATTACACCATAAATCTATGAATAAGAGGGGCCATACACGTTACAATGGTCGGACGGAACGTTCTTCGGACTTCGGTCGTATGCGACAAGTTCTATCGTGAGTGGATTGATCGTAGAGAACGACTTCAACAACTGAACTACCAAGGTCATGTCGTCGGTCCGTTGCAATACTTATCGAACCGTGGTTTGATCCAGGGACTGTGCGACTATACAGGGCGTCCCACGGCTACCTCACACGGAGGGAAAGTGTATTAAATAATGAAGATAGGATATTTTACTGAAAGAAGACATCATTTTATTTTTAATAATAACTAAAACTGCATTCACATTTTTTTTTAAAATCGCCTGCTACAACTGGGAATGAAACTCGTGAAATTTCGAAAAAAATAATACAACATATTTTATGATAACCATCGAAAGGGTTGATCATAAGGATTATTTTTTGCTTAATAACAGAGCAATTTAAAATAAGCTGTTTTTTTTTCGAAATTTCACGAGTTTGATTCCCAGTCGTAACAGGCGATTTTTAAAGAATCTGTGAATGCAGTTCTTGTTACTACATTCGTGTGAGGTAGCCGTGGAACGCCCTGTATATGAGTGATGCGTGCTCTGCTCCAATCCCCTTTGCCTTCTGCATCGCCTAATGTTACCGAGCACACATTTCTTTTTCTACTAAAAAAACCCTTTAGATTTATAAACCCAGCAGTTGAATACATGAAATAGGCAACAATACAATGGAATCTTCACCTTTTGTTTCAGATTATATGGACTCACTATGCAAGGACCACTTCCTCCAGCGGCAGTACCGCAAGTTGGACGGCGGCGTGCTCTGGTCCCGCAACGAGAGGAACCTCGACTGCACGGTGACCTTCCAGACGCACAGCATCCTGCAGCGGTTCATGCTGCACTTCGACCTGCTGCAGCTCGACTGCAACGACCACCTGTACGTGTACGATGGCGCCCATGCCACCACGCCACCTAAGGTAAGTTTCACCGTTCATTTCACTGTGTGTCAAAAAGCTTCTTAAGAGAAGCTTCAAGATTTTGAATGAAGAGAATGAGATGAACCTCCGAAGAAGACTGACAGGAGTTAGTGAATGACATTGTTTCTGTGAGCATCCATGGGTGTAGTACGCTGGCCAATGGTAATGACGTCATGATTTCGACGCGATATTGACAACACTACTACTAAACCAGTGCAATATGGCGTCGAAATCATGACGTCATTACCGCTGGCCAGCGTACTGGTTTATATTTCGGAATAAACCCTATAGCTCGGTGTTACCATATTAGCGATCGGTCACTAGCTCTTATTTTCATTGAATGAATGAATGAATGAATGAATGAATGAATGAATGAATGAATGAATGAATGAATGAATGATCACTTTATTCTACACCATGATTTTTTAAATTACAATTAATTAAAACTATTACATAATAGTACAAACGGCGGCCTTATCGCTTAGAAGCAATTTCTTCCAGGCAACCGTATGTTAACTGGACTGTTACATAAAGAGTGGCAAGTAGATGGTGTCATTCAAAGTGCAACTACCATTAATAACACTTATAAATAATTATGTACAACAAAAAATAAAATAAAATACAAATACATAAACATAATACATCTATTTATAAAGACACTAACACTTCAATCATATTTTGGATGATGTGACGACCTGCTAAAATGTCAAGTAATGTTCTTTTAACATTCTTTTAAAACAAGCTAATGTTTTAGCACCTCTGATTGCTTCTGGCAAGGCATTCCACAAACGAGCAGCCTGAACTACAAATGACTTGTCCATAAATTTCGTGGAGTGCATTTGCATCTCGAGTGTTAAGTTTTCTGACGATCTCAAAACACGAGCATGTGTATCATGCAGGAAATTAAAACGGGCCTTGAGATAATATGGAGTAAAGGGATTAAACAATATACTGTAAAGAAGGGAAAGGATATGCATGTTCCGGCGAAGGCGAATTGGCAACCACTTGAGCTTAGTGCGGAAATCGGATACATGATCATATTTGCGCAAGCCAAATATGAACCTAATACAAAAATTTTGAAGCCGCTCAAGTTTATTCAGTTGCTCCTCGGTTAGGTCTAGATAGCTGACATCGGCATAGTCCAAGATTGGTAGGAGAAGAGATTCTGCAAGCGCAGTTTTAGTAGCAATTGGAAGAAAATTACGTTACCTTTTCAAGGAACCAGCTGCAGCAAACATTTTACGGCTTGCTTCCTGTACTTGAGATGCCCAAGTAAGGTTTTTGTCTATTATAACCCCCAAATTTTTTACTTGGTTACTAGGTGACAAAGTATTACCATCGAATTTAATCGTTGGTAAACGTGCCCAGTCGATTTTATTGGTCATTGCGGGGCTGCCAATTAAAATAACCTGAGTCTTCAGCGGATTGACTTTTATGCCGTAAGACTTGCTCCATTCACAAATAAGTTCCAGATCGCGGTTGACTGTGGTAATTGCAGAGAATAGTTGATCAGGTGAAGCATGATAATAGATTTGCAAATCATCTGCATAAAGGTGATAGGATGAAACTAGTTTGGATGAAATGGAATTGATAAATATAGCAAAAAGTAATGGAGATAAAACGCCACCCTGCGGCACACCAGCAGAAATATCACACCAGGAGGAAAATAAATCCTCAATGCGAATTCGCTGTCGGCGACTAGACAGGTAACTACGAAACCAGTCAATCACTGCTGGAGATATGTTAATGGAACGTAATATGCCAAGTAAAATGTCAAAGTCAACGGTGTTAAATGCGTTGGAGAAATCAAGTAAAGAGAGAACCGTTACTTTTCCATGTTCCATACCTGACCTGATGTCCTCTGTAACATTCACTAATGCCGTGGTGGTACTATGACCTGCTCGGAATCCTGATTGGAAAGGGTTTAGGAGTTGATTTTTAATAAGGAAATATGACAGCTGGTTATGTACAAGGCGCTCCAAGACTTTGGAAAGGAATGGCAGTATGGAAATTGGCCTGTAGTCTGAAAAGGACGATGGTTTTGACGTCTTAGGTAATGGAGTTACGTGAGCTTCTTTCCAGGCAGAAGGAAAAACACCAGTAATTATGGAATGGTTAAGGATGTGTGAGAGAATAGGGAGGATTTCTTCTATAACAAGGATAATCATTTTCCTGCTGACACAATCACCACCCATGGCACCAGAGGCAATCGACATGACGCTCTTTTTAACATCACAGTCAGAAAATTGACTAAGAGAAAAATATGGATGATTAGGGCACGGCAAAGATGAAAGATAGTTCAAAGTATTAGACTTGCTAGATAAGTCAGAACATTGTGAGGAGGAGAAGTGCTTATTAAGTAAATCGATATTTAAATTAGTAAAAGAAGATGTTTGACGTTGTTTTCCTATGCCCAAAGACCTTAGAAATTTCCAGACCTTCGTCGGATCTTCGTCTTCAATAGACTTGTGTATATAATGGCGTTGTGCATTCCTACACACCTTATTGCATTGATTGCGCACCTTGACGTACTTTTCCCAGTTGGAAGGAGTGGGTCGGCACTTGTACCTAGTTTTGGCAGCAGCTTTCCGCTCAGATATGCTCTTAATTTCGTCAGTGAGCCACGGTGAAGGACGATGTTTCATTTTTACGGGCCGAATAGGAGCATGAACATCATACAACCCTGTGAGTGCCGAAACAAAATAACCTACCTTTTCGTCCACAGAATAACAGTTAAGGAGCTGTGACCAATCAATATTAGCAGCGTCCTTCCGCAGGTTTTCGTGATTGATACTACTAAAATTGCGCTGCAAAAGAATTTTGGGCTTAGCTTTTGGTGGACGGATCTTGTACGAGATAAAAATTAAATCATGGTAGGAAAATGCATCAGCTGAGAATTGACCATGTTTGGCGACATGTTGGGAAGACGAGACAACAATAAGGTCTAGAAGCGAAGGAGAACAGTTAGGAAAATTATGTGTGGCTTTTAAAGAAGGTAAGAATAAATTATTACTTTGTAGGACCGAGCGAAAAATAGCTGAACGGGAATCATTTTTAAGAAGGCAGGTGTTAAAGTCACCCATGATAAGAGTATGACTGTAAGAGGGACACAACATTTCATTGGTTACAAAGGGGAGTGTCAATCTTTCCTTCTTACATGGTCATTGGTGCTACTGCATTCACAGAACACAGAAAGAGATTAGAAAGGTTATCATAAACCGTTTGTACTGGAAACAATGTCGCCAGCTCCACCCTACTACATTTCCACTTATAGATAATAGCCAATCAAACGACACTACAGCAAACAATGGCACCAATCAGGACTTACACCCGAGAGCAACGACGCAATCAGAACCAAGAGCATTTGCTCCCACATAACTGTGGCGCGCCTGCCCCGCCAAGAGCATTTGCTACCACATAACTGTGGCGCGCCTGCCCCGCCAAGAGCATTTGCTCCCACATAACTGTGGCGCGCCTGCCGCGGGGCCTTCTAACCTCTTTCTGTGTTCTGTGACTACATTATATAGAGTTAAAACATCTGCCACTAGATGGTGCTGTAGCGAGAGAGATCGCGGTGTAATCGATCAGGTTTCCTACGTTCTAATAAAATCATTTTGCCAGTAACGCAACATTCATAATAGCTTGCCTGCTATCCTAGTCCTTCTTAAACTATAGATGTAAAAGTTTGTACGTTTGTTACTTACTGAATCACGCAATATCAATCACACATAGATAGCTTACAACCTGGAAAGGGACGAAGATTACTTTTTATCCTGAAAAGGTATTAGGTTCCTGGGGGTTTTTGCAAAAACCTTAAGTCAACGAAGAGACCATGCGCTTCAATAATGATGAACGATGAATTTATTCAAATGATAGCCAAACAACTTCATTTTAAAGGAAAAAGAAAGAAAACGTTAATTACAGAACTAATGACAGTAACCATTGATTAGGTAAATTGAACCTCGAAAACCAATAACATCCAATAATGCGAATGATACAGACATTCATTCAACATCACATGAGCTGGGAATAGTTAACGCATCTAATTTGGAGACGTTCCAAATCGTCCTTGGCAGCAATTATCCCGATTCCCGGCGATTCCCTATTATTCCCATTTGTTCGCGATAGCGGGCGGTGTTGTCGCACTCCTCCAATTTATTAAGGATGCCTTTGATCGGGCGTTAATGAGACCCGAGGGAATGTCATCCATAAGTCCATTGTACTAGCTGGCTTGTCCGAGCCCAAATAGTTCGTAATGACTAATCTTATGGTGATCTTTTGTATGATTTCGTTTATTAATCTGCCCACTAATTTGTGCTTCACAAGTTATTATATCATTACAGTAATGTAAGTTATTTACGAGATTGTTACTATTGTTACCGGAGTAACTCATGAGTTACTTCGTGATCACGGCGCTTGCAACAATGCCGAAATATGGGAAACTCGCTAAAAACAAGGTGCATGATAACAATCCCGTACATAACTCAAAATATTACTGTAATGTTAGTGCCCATGGAAGTTTAAAACAATATAATAATATCATTCAGAGTAGCTTTAAGATTTTATATAAACTAAATGGGAAACGCAATTGTAGGAATTGGTAACTCATTAAAATAATATACTTAGACGCTCCTTCAGAATTCACGACAGACTGGAATCCGTCAGGTGTTACCTTCCAAATAATTAACACGAGCCACTCTGGATTTTAAATTCAAATCTTGAAAGTTTTAGACAATACGATCCACGGACAAAGCGCCAAGTTCCAAGTCGCATTGTGGACCCTCCAGTTGTGGACTTTCGTTTTATTTCTGTAACGCCTCCTTTGTTCGTTGTTGTGAGGACGTAATAAAAGGTACATTCGCTAATTATTTCCCGGCTGTGTTTATTGATGGTGATGTAAAAATAACGGAGGCTCTCAAGAAGTTTCAAAGAGACAAGGTAAATTAACTTTTGTCTTAGAGATTACCTTTTAAATCAAAACTTACCAACAAAGCTTGACAGTCCTAAGGAAGATTCACTTTGAGAAAAAAAAGGCTGCTTTATAGCGTTCGCTGTCAATAAGATAGTACCTATTACAGTTTGTGTTAATTTACACATTTCAATGAAACTTCTGAATTTAACCGTCATTCTAGATAAATTTCAATATAAGAGGGCATCTTGCCAAATGGACACTTGACAATTCGTTAAGTCGCGTATGGCGAAGTTGTTCGCAGTTCTCCTAAGTTTCCGATCCTCCTCGGTGCCTGGAAGCCATTTGAAATGGAAATTCGTAATTGTTACTCAAAATTTCCACGAAAACTTCTGCGTTTTATTGGATATAATATGAGCTTACTGTCAACTTAGCAGTAAGTACTTTTAAAGCTTGTTGAATTTGTTGGGGGCAATGTAATCGAACCCAGAGGGATTCCACTGTGGAGATTGAAAATCGCTTCTGAAGTGCAACGGCCGAAATTAATGACAAAAAGGATTTGGCTAGAAATTTATCAAAGTAGCTTTTTTGATTTATTCAATCTTTAGTGACGTCAGATATTAAAATACTCTTTATAAAATTACACGTTTGCTTATATAAGTGTAAATAATGTCATTAGAGGCAGAATGCTCTATCTTCAAGCAATCGATCAGAATAAACGAAAAACACATAATTAAAAAAAGAAAAATGAAAATCTGTATAATTTTAATAAAGAAAATACTATACCATACCTCTGGTAGACTGTTGGTGTAGTAAATAATATTTGTGAGTTGTCCTCAGTTGATTTATTATAATATAAAAAAAAATCATTATAATCTTTTGAAAAATAAATATTTGGAAATCCCTCACTGATCATATAATATAATGCACACTACACTCATGTACTGCTTTGGAAAGTTTAAATGTTGAAGCTGCGCGCCATCGAAAAGTGGTTGGATAACTTACTAATAATGGAAACAAGTGTCAATGGTGAAGTTTCAGTGTGTGTTGCACTCAGAAACCCTCGGTTCCATTAAAACAAAGATGTAGTTGGCCACCTGTGTGTCGCAAACTATCCGCAACTCAGCTGTTGACTGCCGAGCATGCGATGGACTGTGAGGATTCACAAACTTTTGTAATACACAGCCTTACAGTGGTATGAACTTACTTGATCACTCCAGAATTCAGAACGACAGTCCGTGTTGCGCTATACATAGAGTAGAACAAATTCTAATATACTTTAAATGAAAATGCTTTGTGTACAACAAATGGGAAAAGTCACTAACTTTTTAAAGAAGATTTCATTATGACACTAGATAATAGACTCGGATCTAATTTTCAGTTTTCATACTGATCAGAAGTTTAGATATGATATTATTACATGTGATATTCTGGATCGATAAATAAACTATAATTTGAAGACAAAATAGAAAAAGGAAAATAACAAAGCAATATCTGGCAAAATATCAAAATGCTTATTTAAATAATTATAGCAAAACTAGCCAAGACAAATTCCGAACACACATTTTGAGATGGTTTCTGAAATCTGTTGCACAAATATTTGCTGCAAAGTTTCGGCATCAGCATGCACACAACTATCAACAACAGCGTAAATTGCAAACATGAGGGTGTGTTCGGGCTAACATTGTTCAGAGATTCAAGCGACAAAGAAGGAAGTTTGGACCACCTGTACGTGAACTATCGTAACTATTCGCCGCAGGCCAGCATGTTGGTGACAATGTACTGACAACTAAAAGTTTTAGACAGTCCACAAATTTACCAGTAAAGCGTACCGCAACAACTTTAAAGGAATTAGAAACTCCTAAATTAGTAAAGTAATTTGAAGAATTTGAGCTTCAATAATTGTTTCTGGAAATAGGGAGCTTGATCCGTTAATTACAAATTCTCATCTTTCAAAATTGATTGACGGCTGTCTGTACATGGAATTTAATTTATATAAAACATTGTGTTTCTTAATCTCATAATATTTAATTTCAATTTATCTCAAATCATATAAATAAACTAGCTGACTCGGCGTACTTCGTACCGCCCAAAAGTAATAATTTGTAATAAATTAAAATTGCGACTATAATTTGAGATTTAAACTATCCTATCTCTCAAGTTGGATCGAACTGCACATGGTGTGCGAATTTTATTATAATCGGTTCAGTGGTTTAGGAGTCTATTGAGGACAAACATTGTGACACGAGATTTATATATATTAAGATAGACAGCTTCATCTTTCACAGATATTGGAAACTATTACACTTTGGTGATTACCGAACTGTTTGTTAATAGCTTTGTAAAGCTTGAAGTCTGACTAGGTACTATAGTTTATAGATCGATGGCTCAAGTACTTTTAGTAGTTGAGTCCATCTTACTTCAAGCACTAAAGTTATAAGAGCTTGCAGTTAATAAAGATGCGCAGGGCGTGCCAATATCTTATAAGATTTCTTCTTCGATGGCTTCGTTATATTGAAGTATTACGGCGGCGCTCGCGGAATAGTAATTAGCGGCACGTGATCCATGTTACAATTTGTGATGGCTAATTTTTTGGGGCTATATCACATTCCTATTTTAGATAAGAATATTTCCTGTCTTTTTATTGAAGTTACACTTCTTTAGCCGCGTTATGAAAAAATGATGAGAGTGAAATTTTAAGATGCGCGCACATCACTGTAACACAATAGTAACACCATGAAATTGGCCGCGGGCGCGTTATGAATGTCAGTGTCTAATAATGGTGGATTATTAACCACTAAGTGGTGGTCATTATTAGACATCTGTTCGAAAGGTACTTTGAACGATCCACGGAGCTCCATAAGATGATCGCGTTGTCAAAAACAATGTTGGCACGCTCGTCGCCTCTGATCACTGTTTTCATATTTATAATATTTATCCACATGTTTCTAGTTTCTATATAGACACAACGTGTTTTAGTTACTTACAAGTGCTAATTACATATGGACTAATAACTTAAATTCAGTAGTGATTTTAATTGAATATTTTGAATATTTATTTAATTTTTCAAATTAAAACTGAACTTAATTGACTGTGTTAACTATCCTTTTCCAGTCCTTTTATTATTTTATTGTAATTATTAATTATTTGCATGCAATTAAAAAATATTTTTAATGATGCTAAAGAAGTATAACTTCTCACTCGCGTACATAAGTTACACGCATCCATTTTTTTTGTGAGACAGAAAACATGTTTTTTCATTTCCGATTTAAAGATTTAATCATCATTCGAATCAATCTCTTTTGAACAGTGCAATGTTGAACATTATGTATAAAACTGCGAAATTTATGAAAGACAAACTACGAATTAATATTACAGTAATTAGAATAGCATATTTTTAGCAGGAACCTGTATGTTAAATATGTTAATTCCAAATCTATCTTCATTCAATATCCGTACAAGATTGTTAGATACTCTAAAGCGAGCGAATAATTTAATGAAACAGCACCTTATAAAAAGCGAATTTTCATTCAAATTAAAATTTCCTTATAAACTCCAGAGGTAAACGACGCGATGATAGTTTGCATAACAAAACCCTTTAATTTCGCCGACTTATCCGGCTGGAATACAGAAGAATTTTTAATATCAACCAGAGCTCGATCTTTATTAAGCCGGGGCACAATAAGGTGAGCCGACTTGAATTGTGGAGGGAGGCAGAGGGCTGTCGGATGCGATACCAATCTGTTTAGCTAGAAATATTCAAAGTGCCATTATTACTTCACGTATTAAGAATTTAAAATGTCTCCTTTTTCTAGGTTACCTTTTATTAGAGTTTCGTACCCCAAAAGGAAAAAAACGGAACTCTTATAGGATCATTCGGTTGTCTATCTGTCTGTCGATCGATCAAGAAAAATTTGGTACATATATGTATATTTGTGACCCAAACACGGACAAATAAAGTAAATAAATTAATTCCGAATATGGGGTTTACTTTTGTGGGTGAATAGTAAAATTTAAAAATAAAATTTAGCTGACTGCCGTGTTATATATCAAATGTAAGGGCTCAATATAAAGGTTTCAAATAAGTATATATTTATTACAAATTTAAAATGAAGAGTTCAAACATTATTTAAGAAAATAGATGAAAATTGTCGGTTCCCCTTCCTCCTGCGTGTAAAAATTGGAATAAAATAAATATCCTTAAATATTTATTTCTCCTTCTCTTTTGGCTTCCATGACGTGTTTTTTTTTACTAGATATTTTAATATAGTGTTTAATGTTGTATAGATACCGGTGCGGCCGGTTTTTTTAGATCATTTACAGTGTCTAGATAATTATTTGTTTTATCTTGAAAATTCTGTGGAACGGCTTTATTATTTATATTAACGAATTTGAAATTAGTTATAGTTACTCTGAGAAGTCTAATGTTCTCTATAGCTGCTAATAGGGTATTAGACAGTATTAAAAATAAAGTTGTTAGTATCTGTATTTAGAATGAGTATTGGCAGGAGTTTTACTATTATTACAGAAAAAATATTCATAATTTTACTAAAAACCCACGATAAAGATAATAGTTTTCTTGTCTGTTGTTACGTGACCCGAACCGCTTGGGATTGGTGGAGCCTAAAATGAAGTCACACGCAAGTAAACGTCCGGTTAAAGTGACATTAGATTGTATGGTTTGACGTTTTAATGACAGTCGTGTGACGTCACACACCAGTAAGACACCATATTGTCCAGAGATACGTTTTCGCGGCAACTTGAAAATAGAGCTTTTGATTTAGTTTTTTTTACCGAAATACACAACGTAATGATGAATATCTTTTTATGGACTCTATAAACATTAGTAATTACCGTGAGATCGTTTCCTAAAACTTGTCAAATACCCTATTGGTGTCATTAAATTTCACCACAGGCAGCCCTGAGGCTCAGTCGGGTGTCAGTGTAATGTATAGAGGTGGGTATTCTCCTAAGTCCTGGTCGTCACGTCGCCGCGATCGCTCGCGTTGAAATATGACAGCAATATAATGCTCCCATCGCTCAGTAAGCTCGCTCGATGGAGGAAATATGGCCGACGCCTGAGCGATCAACGGTCGCTTGTAAGCTTGTTTGCTGAACGATGCAACGTCCATTCTGTGTTGAACATTCATTAGGACAAGTATCAGTTTTGATGTTGATATTTTGAATAAGTTGGTCCACTTTGGATATAAAACTCAATAGAGTCTGTGCGGAAAGAGAATGGGCGTGGCGAAAAACGGAACTAACATTAAGATTTTTATTTGGCTATCAAACCCGGCAATCTGCAAAACGTCAAAGTATTGTATTGATACGGATTTGTTTGTTGTTGTGATTTCTTGCGGTTTTCTGTATTTAATCATGTCTAAAAGGGGTAAAGCCTAACAAATACGGTAGAAAAGCACTATAGCGCCCTCCAATCTAAATCCCATTCTCTTTCCGCACAGACTCTAACCACACATGTCCATTTTAATTGTGAAGTTTTTTAACGCTGCATTTAATTAGTAACCATTTCAACAAGATGACAATTTATATATATTTTTGGATAAACATTTAACAAAGAGCATGTAATCGAATAATTATTTAATGGTTTTCCAATTTTTTTTATTGGTATCGGAACTGTGCTTTCTGTATAAGTACTAAAACCCTAATAAAAAAGAACATGAACATTTTTACTATTAAAAAAATAACATTTTATTTATTTACTAGTGGCCCGCCCTCGTTTCGCTTCGGTGTAGAGCTGTAGTGTAAACTATAGTTTTTGTTCTCAGGCTTGTGCTATAAACAATGACTTTATTTATATAATTACACGTGTTATTGTGAGTCAACCATAAAAGATAGACATATGCTGTTGCGTGAAATTTTTTAGACAATTTTATGTAGAATATTTCCGTCATACATGATTTCTATGTAACTTTAACCATTAAGGCTGCACCCGCGACGGAAGCTTAAAAATGGAGTAACTTCTCCCGTTTTCCCAACATTTCCCTTCACTACTCTGCTGCTATTGATTGTAGCGTGATGAAAAGTATACTATAACCTGCCCAGGAGTATGAAGAATAATTGTACCAAGTTTCGTTAAAATCCGTTGAGTAGTTTTTGTTTCTATAAGGAACATACAGACAGACAGACAGACAAACATTTTACTGATTGCATTTTTGGCATCAGTATCGATCACTAATCACCCCTTGATAGTTATTTTAAAAATATATTTCATGTACAGAATTGACATCTCTACAGATTTATTATATGTATAGATAGATATTCGCAGTAGTTTTTACGATTTCACAAGGCATTAATCGGTATTATTAGTTGTAAGTAGTTAATAATGAGATTTATTAGTGGTATTTCACAATCTCCTCCTGCTGCTTCTTTAGTACGTGCATTTCTGCAATCTGACATCTATTTTGTGTCAGTTTTACGTGTTCTACAATTTCAAAACGAAATTCATAAGGCATTTTGTTTACTATGCTGTTAATGTAGCGCCCGTACATAGCGGGCGGAGGATTCGAGCTGGCATTACAATGCAATCTTATTGTTTAAGTTTCAAAAGGAAGAATACTGTATTTAGTTGTTATTAATTTGATGTGATAACCTATTGTACAGCGAATTATGTAAAAGAGTAGTCTGTCTTTATGACACGAGGTAGATACGAGTTCAAAAAAAAGTTGCCTTGTGGACACTAGGCGTTGATCTTGGTCTCGTTTGGTTTCTTAAAATTAATTTTGATTTAGATTTTTACAAAGAACTATCAAGTAAAGTTTTACTAGAAAAAAAATCCACGCGGACCAGGCAGCGGATGGGACTCGAACCCGCACCCTTCGCAATCCGGGCGAATGCACTGACCAATTATGCTACCACGGCCCTCATGGCCGCGTCGAAATTTTCCTAGCCTTAAGCTGCAAGGCAGCGCCATCTCTTCGCAATGTAGGTAACCCACAATGTCAAATGAATACTTTTTCAAGTATTAAACATTTGAAAGAAGAAATAGCAATTAAAGTTATGTTTTTATTTATTTTTAAGCATTTGACTGCTAGATGTTTAAATCTAAAGAAAAGTTTTACTAGATTTTTTTTTTTTTAGTAAAACTTTTCTTTAGATTTAAACATCTAGCAGTCAAATGCTTAAAAATAAATAAAAACATAACTATCAAGTAGGTAAATCCGGTAATCAGATTTTTATTCTCAAATGAGTCTCATATAATTTGCTCAATTGCTTTCAGTTCAAACGTTAATACAAATAAACCATTCATTATTATCAAAGGTTTCTGAGTGGTGATTGATTCTATCTATCTATGTTTACGCAGGTAGGCAGGTAATTAATGATCGCTTTTAAATAAACATAGAATTTTGTGGTTTTGATTTCCGATTTCCGTAATTATGATATCAATGTATTCCTTGGCGATTTTTTATGAAATATAGAAGATCAGTGAGAGAATCAAGATGTAATGTAACAATGTTCAGGAATCTGACGCATAACCATTCATTATTAATCACTATCAGTTACGCAGTGATCATGACGCTTGTTGCAACAGTACCGAAATATTGGAGACTCATAAAAAACAAGGTACATGGTAACAATCCAGTTAATAGCTATAATGTTAGTGACCATGAAAGTTTAAAACAATACATCATAAACATTCGTTACTAGATACGGAAGCTGAAAATGTAGCATTATGAAATGAAACGAAATGAAAAGTCATTTATTCAGTCTAGGCTGTTACAAGCACTTGTGAAGGTCAAGAAGCTACGCCATCGGTTCGCAAAACTACGGCGGGAGACCTTGTACTGAGAAGAACCGGCAAGAAACTCAGCAAGGGCATTAGAGCGAACCATCACAAAATCGCTTCACCTGATCCGACCAATGATAGTTTCACACCTGGTCCAGCCCACGAGAGATATCCCTGACACAGAAGAGGTTTTCAGGTGCAATGGTCCCTAAGTCGGAACGAACACTCTATCTTGTTCACACCCAGGCTGAGAAGACTTTCCTTATTAGCCAAGGAAACGAGATGAAAAAGGATCACGCACGCTTACCACGCAGGAAGCACAGGGACAAACGTTCGAGACAGTGGTAATAGTGCATATCCCAAATAGTCTCATTGAAATGAAATGAACTGAAAAGTCATTTATTCAGTCTAGGCTGTTACAAGCACTTGTGAAGGTCAAGAAGCTACGCCATCGGTTCGCAAAACTACGGCGGGAGACCTTGTACTGAGAAGAACCGGCAAGAAACTCAGCAAGGGCTGTTTTTTTTCACTGTATTGTTATATACTTTGCACCAAAGCGTTTCACATGACGTTGTAGCGATTTCAATACACACTAACAAGCTAGCAATAACAAACGCCTCTACCGGAAGTAAGAACAAACTGGCTTTTTCCATTAAAACTTTGACGCTGGTGTATTGTATATGTACTGTCCAGGAAAATGAATTGAGCTTGCTTTCCCTTAATGGACTTTTGAAATTGTTCTAGTATAATTCTTATGTCTCTTTTAACAAAGGCAAATGATACTGGGTCACATACATATTTTAGTTTTTCTTATTTATTGGCATATTTATTCATGTACTTCTTTGTGTTTTAGATTTAGATAGCGTAATTCCACCCATAGGGTATTTGCTTTGCAAGTTTATAAAAACAACACGTCTTTTATAACCCAATCACAAATATGTGTCATCAATACGATAACCTGCTTATGGATCATTCTTCCTTGGACATTTTTAGTAGTCGGCTTCTTGAATTTCGAAAAGAAATCCAACGATTAATACTTCATTAACAAAGAGAAAATCGGTTGATTTGTACTTATATTTAAGTGTTTTTCTTTTGTGTAAACTTCAGCCCATAAAATTTTATCATGTTATGCCCACATATTTAGAGTTACAGTTTGGTTTTATATTATTGTAATTGCTTTGTTTTTTTTTTAATATTTTTGTAACTTGTTTTGTGAGCTAATAAATAAATAAATATATTTGCATCTTACACCATACAGAGATCCTGTCAGAATACCAGTTTTTCTGTGACATGTCTCATCACGGCAGCATTATGCTGCAGCATCAGTCAATCAGGACGATTGACCAATATCTTTCTCGTTCTGTTCAATTCCGGTTCTCTCTTTCTCTCTTCGAGCAATTTTTCGCATTGTAAGCAACTACCACAAACTTATGCAACTACAATATCAAATGAGATACTTTTACAAGTATCAAACATTCGAAAGAACAAAATGTAGCTTATAGGTACAATGTAAAAAGTCAGACTTGTAAAAAGCCATATTTTTTTGTCAAAAGTATTCTTGTAAACTGTTCTTTTAAAAAAATCTAGCAGCTTTTATGCTTATCATTGATAACAAGTATATTAATTTATAATTAGTATTGTTTGTTTATTGCAGGCAGACCTGTCGTGCCGCAACACCAAGCAGCAGGTGGGCGCGCTGTTCACGCGCAGCAACTTCGTGACGCTGAAGTACGTCACTGACAACTGGGGCACCGACGCCAACGGGTTCAAGCTCGTCATCACCGCCGTCAAGGACCCCAGTCAGTATCTTACTAAATATTTCTTATTTTTCCTAGTCTCCATCATCAACGGGACTTTTCGTGTGTGATTTCATTGAATCTCATCATTATTTTGGGTACTTTGTGTCCGGTTGCTGCCCACTACCATATTGATATCATCTTGCCAACGGGTTCAAACTCGTCATCACTGGCGTGAAGAACCCTAGTTAGGGTATTACTAAATACTTCTTAATTTCCTTAGCCTTCATCAGCAATAGGAATTTTCGTGTCGGCTTTCTTTGAATGTATCTATCTATTTCTGGAAACTTTCCTTTCGTCATCACTGCCGTCAAGGACCCGACGTTATTAAATATTTCTTCATCTTCTTAGCCTTCATAACCAACGGAAATTTGATGTGGGTATTATTACGGATCTCTATATTTGTATTTTTTCATTAATTTACAAGGTTTTTTTTTGTCAAAACCAACTACCATGTGGGTAATATAGACTTTTTTTTCTATAACTATTGGTTATGATATATTTTCTGATGTAAATGAACTCATTACACTTTTTCATTTAGAAAAAATCGTCAATTTATGACTATAACTTCGTATAAATTTACGAATTCTACCAACGATGCGGCTCTGGCTAAAATCGTAAAACCGAGCCTTCCCCGAGGGATGAAACAGCATCTACTTTCAAATTACTGGAGCATGCAGGGTTTTTTAATATGACTCGCATATAAATGACAGCCCCTAAAACCAATGGAGAAGATATGAAAAACCAATAAACGTTAAAACCCTTTTAACGGAAAATACTTCATTTTCTTTTTCAATTTTACGAACGTTTACGAAACGACGTGCTTAACGATCAATAGATAATGAGAGTCAGTAATTCTCGGAGTTCGTACCGGAACGATCATTAAAGCAATTGCGGCGAAAACAAATTCGGATGAAGCAATAATCCGACTAGGACGTGCGCAGTAATAAATACTTGTGCGTTTTACAAAAACAGTGACGGCCAGTCCCAACCCAACCCTCTTTAATTTGGCCCAATGTGTATTTATTTGCGCAAACAGCCGACAAGCCACTTCGTTTACGCATTCCACCCTTTTATATACATTTTTTTATTGCCCTCGACTCCTTTTGCCGAGTTACCGGGCCCCGAGATATGAGACCTGTTGCTGTTATATAGCGACGACGGATTTTCCTTTTGTGGCGAAGTTGGTATTGTCACTTATATTGTGATTTTCCGGTTTCGTATTCGATTGATATGTGCGCTTAACACGACAATACGGTAGTCGATGATAATATTAGAGTTCATCTCCATTCATTATTTAAAACAACCGAGACTTATTAGCGTTTTTTGAGGCGCAGGTAAGTGGTTTACTAAATTAACCCTCCTAATAATGTTCTCTTGGATGATTAAAATAAATGGTTATCTTTTTAATTTTATACGCTAATTGCACGCCATTATAGTGACAGAGAATATGAAAAGGCTTTATTGGCTAAAAAGTTCATGTACACGCCACACATATAACTGAATGGAGGAAAAGACATCATTTGCCTTCTTAAAGATGGCACTAGCGGCGGTACACCCAATTTATAAAGAGCCTTCATCGCACTAGTGAAATTTAGAGTCAACACAATTATTTATATTAAAGCGCGATCAACATTTCTGGAGCCGGGATCAATTGGTTAAACGTTTGATGTTTAGGTCCCGGGTTGAAATCCCTGTGGGGGCAGATGTTTGTGTGATGAATACGAGGATTTGTACTCCAGTCATGGATGTTTAATATGTATTTCTATATAAATATAATTATATATGTACAGTATATGTATTCTATCCGTTACCCTAGTATCCCATAACACAAGCCTTACAGTGCTTACATTGGGGCTAGGCTAATTGGTGTGTGTAAAAAATAGAACATGCACAAAGGGACTTTAAAACTAAATGTCTGTGCGTACTTTAAATAAGAGGACCTTATTATGACTTAAGTTCTCACTATGATTTTTAATGTAAACAAAACTATTGTAAAGCTAAAAATAACAACAAAAACCAAATTTCGATTTTTCACAAGAGGAATGAGAACTCGTGTAATGGGAAGTAACATCTTTTCAGTTTCTTCATAAGTCAATAGGAGAGGAAATGTATTTAGTACTTGTACGTTTTAGTTGATAGAAAGATAAAAAGAAAGAAATTATATATTGCAACTGTTTTTAAAATATAGTACCTTTTTATAAAAAACAATCAACACTATGTTTTAAGCTGCATAGACTGCTAATATTCTCAGCAATGTCCAATCATGACCTCTTCCAGTGTCCTTCGTTTTAATTTTCACTGTTGCCTGTGGTATTTGGCAATGTTATTAAAATCTTATTACTCTTGTTAGTGAGGTCGTAATGCTCTGTGCGTAACGTAGCCTCTTGCTCTCTTCCCCTCTTGAAATGATATTGAGATGATAATGGCCGCTATAAACTTTATTGGCTCCATATCTCCGAATAACGGGCGACAAAATTAGCTATCATTTTGTGATCATCTGAATGAAATTTTTTGAATGTTACTCCTGAGACTTTTATTTGTTGGGAGTTGGGAATTCGATGAGTCTATTGTTAAGCATTGCTCTTTTTTGAATTTTAATAACAAAAGAATAGGGTAATTACAAGAACTAGGATCTTTTTGGTGGTGTATAGCGCTTACTTGAGTGTCTCCCGTTTATCTGCAACGGGCCTCCACTACCAGCAGTGCTAGCCGCCTCTAGACCTTCAAGTCTCCAGTCTACATCCTCTTCACGAAGATTGCCGAAGACCCACGCCCATTACTACACTTCACACCTCCACACTTCTCTCTCTCTCTCACACACACACTTCCTTTTCTCCATTCCCTTTATACTTGTTATTTGTAAATATCTTTATTTTGTAAATATTTAAACTGTAAGCTGTTCTGTCGCTATCCTCACCCTTTCCCTGTTTACATTGTCGTAGTCGTCTAACTTAGTAGTTTTGAAGATGGTGGGCTGACCTAACCATTGTTTTAGGATAATAATAATAAAATGCAATAATTTAGTTTTACTTGTTCTAGAAGTTTTTCTATATTCTCTTGCTTTTATTTCTATACTGTTCATCAAACCTTCTGAAATTTCCAATGGATTCTTAGGGATGATGACAATTTTTTTTCTTCGTTATCAGGTAGATTATCAAAAAGTGTTGGACACGTATTTTTTCTTTTTTCACAGAATATAAACATTGCAGAGATATATTGATTTGAAAAGTCGCATGACGTCACGTTTTGGTACACTTTTAAGTGAAAATTCACTAAAAAGTAACGTCACGAGCCCCTACTCCCAAACTTTGACGCGCTATAACTTTGTCATTTTTTGGTTGATTGCCCAAAGAAAAATACTTGTCCATTATTTTTTGATCATCTAACTGACGGACTAAATAGAATTTCGTTTACTGTACCCCGTTATCACCCCTATTAAACACATTTATTTACTTAGATGACGGCACGTCTGCAAGTAGTGAAACTACAAAGACTTAAATGAGGTTCTCTGCATTCATACTTCCAGCATCTTTTCCTTTGAACATATCTCTTGGGCTCACGTGAACAGCAATTAAGTTTTCTGCTTGGCAGCACGGAAAAATACACCCGCTGACGGATTCTGGCAACGGAGCTTTTGACGGAGGAGTATTTTTTTTAAAGATTCCTTTATTTAAAAGTGTTTTCTCAAAATGGAAAAAGAATAGGACGCGCCATTAAAGCGGAATGGTTTCTAATTAAAATTGTCAGAAATGATGGATGGATGAATTGTAATGGGATGTTCTTAGAATTTAAATAATAGTTGATTAATCGTTAATTGCTTTGCTAGGTTGCTGAAGCTCCACGGAGTAGAGGGGGGGGGGGGGTCAGGGTGGGCAAAGTGCGAATTTTGATATCTGAAACTTTATATCTGCAGTGTTTATTCTGTAAGAAGACACATTTCACCTCGGAATCGGTTATGTGATTTCAAATTAGAACACAGATTTCTAATAAATTTCTTGAACGACGACCTCCGTGGCCGTGTGGTTTATACGCCGGGTTTCGTGGTGTCGCCGATTCGAGAGGTCCCGGGTTCGAATCCCGGTGGGGGCAGATGTTTGTGTGATGAATACGAGCATTTATACTCCAGTCATGGATGTTTAATATGTATTTCTATATAAATATACTTATAAATGTACAATATATATATTCTATTCGTTACCATTGTATCCCATAACACAAGCCTTACAGTGCTTACTTTGGGGCTAGGCTAATTTGTGTGAGTGTTGGAAATATTTTTTATTTATTTAGTTCAATCGTGAAAAGTGACTTTGTTCTACAAAATATACAGCTGTTGGCATGAGCTGTCCTTGTCCCACATGAAACAAGTAAACTAAATTAATGTAAGGTCAACCATCAAAAAGTTTTATCACTCAAATCACTATATACTCGTTCTTATAATAAAATAGATTCTTTTTGGAACTTTAAATTGTAGGAAGCGGTGATTATGTCACTTTTAATCAGTGTTGCCACCTTGGATTTTTTTAAGGCGCCAAGTCAAAGGTAAAATATCGCCAGATTTCAAAAATTTGGATTTAATAAAATCCACCAAAATCCGCTAAATTACAATTACATCTCTGATAACAAGAAACCCTAATTTAAATAAAAAACCAGTGAATATGTATGAGGTGCTACAGAAATAACTGTATGCCGCAGTCGGTCGTTGTAATATAGTAAAATTTTGTTATTTAAAAAAAATGGCAATATTGTTTTTACTAACTTTAAACTTTTCCGAGCGTTACCTTAGTAGTACTAGAGAATGAAATAAAACCAGGTAAATATGTATTTACATTCATTATTTATAATCAAGAAATAAATCTTAAACAAAATGTGAAATTTAAAATTCAATATTGTTAAATGTTACATCTTCTTTAATTTCATCGTCGTTCACAGACGCCGACGCTTCTGTCAATGAAGCCGACGTCGAAGCTGAAGATGTTTGGTTGTGGTTGTAGTGGTCTTGTCTTCTCATATTTACTACTCTTGCTAATAATTCTGTTTTACAAAATGAACAAAACGCCTTCGCATCAACACCTGCTAAAGGTTTAAGCCAGGTTTGGAATTCGTCGAGTGATTCGGATTCTTTTCTATACTTTTGTATGTTCTTTTTTTGAATAGAATTTCCATAATAACATATAAGTGAATACTCTAAACATACAGCTTCAGGAGTTCACACACTATTACAAACGTTTCTATCAAATCAAATTTTTACACTTTTTAACAACACAATGAACGCGAACCTAATTCCTGAAACAGAATGAACGATTGAAGGAAGCCCTTAACAGACAAACGCGTGCAGGAATTCCCTTGTAACCATAAGAGTAATCATAGAACATTATGAAATTTTGGAAAGTTAGAGTTTTCTCCCTTTAAAATGGTTGCTAGATTTCATGTTAAAAAAATGGTTGCCTGTAAAGTCGGTTTTACGGGCGAAGATTTTACGTGACAACGTCTTTTTCTCGGTAGAATATTTATTGATATGAATATAATTAAATTGCACAATAGGAACAAGGAATTGAATGAAAATAAGAATTGCACAAATTTTAACTATAGAAATATATTTTGTTTACTAAAACATTGTACATGTAAACTTAAACTTAACACGAGAGACTCATCGTAACGTTACCAAGCGTTACACTTTTTCATAAGTGACTCCCAGCCGCAACCTAATTTAAGACGTTGTCACGTCAAAAACCACTAAAAAACACTAAAAAAATATACCAGCTAGATAATGAAAATATACCACTAGAAGCCATGAAAAAGCACCAGTTCTGGTGGAAAAACCACCAAGGTGGCAACACTGCTTTTAATAGTCTATCTCTTAGTATAGAAATAATATTTTAAAAAATAAATTTAAACGTACTTAATGTATTAAACTGTTAGATTTATCATTATTATTTATCTAAATATTTATTTATAAGGATTTCGATGGCGAAGGTGGTTAGCGCGTTCGGCTGCGATTGTTGAAGTTAAGCAGTCATTGGTGACCAAAACTTATTATCTTGAACTCCTTCGTGCTTCGAAAGGCACGTTGAGCTGTTAGTACCGGCTGCATTTGCAGTCGTTACCTAACCCGCAACTTTCGCAGTGGTCGGTCATTGAATGGGTGACCAAAAATCTTCTATGTCGAGTTCCTTCGTGCTTCGGAAGCACGTAAAGCCGTTGGTCCCGGCTGCATCAGCAGTCGTTAGCATCTGCCATTCCGAACTGGGCCCGCGTGGTGGGTCATGGCCCAATTTCCCTGTTGCATCCATAGAAAAGGACTGTGCCCCAGCAGTGGGGACATATTAATGTCGTGGGGACATTAAGGTTGATGATGATTATTAATTATACCTGTACAGGGTTCCCATAATGTCCCGGTAAGCAGCGCATATTTTTATACTAGAAAAAAGAGGATATTTCGTTTTGGGCCAGGTATACATATGTACACATTCCTAAAAAATAGGGTAAGCAGTAAGCATTCCCAGAAAAATAATAATAATTAGTTTTTTTACCTAATTTAATGGTAAAATGAAGAATAATGCGGTGATTTTGCCGATGTCTTTATTAAGTCTGGTAATATTAGAAATGGAAATATAGTAAGTTCAAAAATATAATGTGTAAAAGAAAGCGTAAGAAAATTAAAGCATACTCAAATAGTCTCAATAAACTATAGTAGCTCAAAAACTATTATGGGGTAATATTTTTTATCATATAACTAACTATAAGTAAATTATCTTTTTTACTATGTTTCGTCCAATATATTGAAAATCAACAACCTTTCCAATTTTATTGTTGTCATGATGCGATCAGCCCACGTGTTTAACCTGACGCGAGTTTAACATTTTTTACCCATACAAAAAAGATGTTTACACGGCCGCCAAAGAAGTTTTCACTTCAAAAAATGAAAATAAAAAATCTCTTGAAATTTATTAAAAATTCTGTAAAGACGACTACAGACAGACTACAGCTATGATTAGAATAATATTACCGCCCTACCCTCTATAAACGAAAGCAATATGATCACAGCAAGTTTAGGGGCTGTCTCACGTGAGGGCAATAAAGGCTTTATTGGTATCTATCCCGGGATCATTAGACGGCACTGAGCCCGGGATCGTAATATTTTTATTGTGCCCTATCAAAGTCCCGGGATTGATCGATCGATAGCGATTGTCTCGAAATGATTGCGCGCTGATAGCAATACGTTGTTAACTGTCACCGTGGACGAATCTAATGAGTCAACGTCTGAATCCTGCCGAAATTACACAGACTACAATGTTTCGTCGATAGATGGCGCAATTTTAATGTTTTCGTCACTTAAGGAAGAAACTGGAACCAAAGGACATTGCTCGTTCCCCATACATTGAATGCCCTAGAACACCCAGCAATGAGAAAATGCTAGTTGTGTTCGGAATCATTCATAAACTCTAATTAGGCATTTGTTGAGATACGGACAAGTTGATCAACCGTGGCCTACTACAGAACGTATTAGATTTTGGGGTTATAATTATCTCTTATCTATTAGACAAGTCCGTCCGTCCGTCCGTCCGTCCGTGGTGCTGTTTCAGCGGCCAAACCGTAAGAGATAGATATAGAGAATGTTTAAGTTATAAGTTAAGAATAGTCTGATAAGACTACAAACCGGATGTGAGTAACGTAGCACAAACTTCCGGTTTTCGAGAAATCACGTGATTTCTATTTCAAACGAAACCACACAAAATCTCCGAAGTTCTCAATTAATTAAATACTTTTTTCTTTTTTTTTTTTTTTGGTGAACATTTGGTTCACAGGTTTGCTAGTTATACTTAATCGTAAAAGATGTACACTTTATATATTCTGAATAGATTTAGTGTTTACCTCTATGTAAGCACTTAAATAATATGCATTAAATGTACATAAAATGCAATTAACACCTAATATAAATAATAAATGCTTATATTCATATTGATTTATGAGTGTTAGCAGTTGGCACATATGTTCAAAGTCTTTCCATTTACCTGTTTCTATATTTTACTATCGGTAATTAGGTATGTACCTGGTTATCATTATGATTTTCATAAAAAAAAAACAGATTACATGGGATGGGAGTACAAACTATCTTTACATAATTTCAGAAATAATCTTTTTAATCTTTTTTTATTATAATAAGTTAAAAAAATAATAGAAAAATAATAGTGAAGGACATTCTTTTGGGCATGCTAGGGCCGATTTCGTCGATGTCCTTTACCGATCCTGGGAGAATTTATTTCGTGCTAACTATGAACGCCTGGCCAGTGTGTCTCGACGTGTATGTAGCAAAGGAACGCGCTTTCCAAACGCAGCTTAACGAATGTCCTGGGATGAACAGTACCCCTAGCACGAACCAATATCGAATTCGTATCGTTTGCGAGTCCGAAATGTGTATTGATTTTTAGTTCTCGTTACGTACTTTGTGCCGCTGCTGTTCAAGTTTCCATACAAAATTTGATATTGATATTTTGGTTTCCAAACTATTCGAATTCGATAATGGTTCGTGCTAGGGGTACAGTAATACCATCAAATACGTTAGTTGAATATACTGCGTGCCAGCGAAAATAAATTCAAATTTTCTTTAGTTATAAAAGACAGATAAGTGTTATATTCAAAAGAAAATTTTACTTGAAAATGTACCACTCGTCCAGGCAACAGACGGTATTGGAACCCGCAATTTCTGCTTGGATGCGGGACCGATGCCGGGACCGAGTGAAATAATTATTTACTAATAAATTTTCTTAAAAAAATCTGACAGTTAAATGCTTAGAATAAAAATACAAACTACATCAATAATAAGAAAAATAACGATTTGTTTACGATTTATTTTAGCGAAATACCTTAAATTAAACATATATATTAAAGTACGTGATACGTATTATACATTATCGTAGATACGTGGTCAACAATCATACTCTTCTTTAATCGGCACTTCCAGCTCTGGGCCACCGTGTGGCACTTCCATTTCCACATAATCACTTAACTCTGCATCAGCGAAAATTTTCGCTAGATTCAATTTCATTTCTATCTGCTTACGGTGAGACAGCTTTCTGAAAGTTTCCGCGTAGCTCGAGAACAGAAAGTCGACAGAGTCATATTCCCTCATCTTCTTAGTTCTGGGATAATCCATCGCTTTTTCTGCTCGGCCCTCTTTAAAGCAACTGCCCTGTTTCTTTCTTTTCGTTCTAGAAGATGAGGTAGGGGGCTGAGACTGATTCTCCGTGAAAGAATTAGTAAATTGTATCGCGGGAAAGTATTCTGGTGTCAAACACATCGCAGGGGCCAATTCCGGAGACTGCCGCAACGGCGAAGAGGACGGTGTCGTCTTCATATAAACTTCGGTGGTCACAAAAGTGGACTGCTGATCCTCGTTCGAATTGGTGGTTTCAGGCAAGCTCTTCGTCGGCGTCGGCGATCGTTCTAACTCCTGTTGCATCGCGTCTAATGCAGCCGCTTTAGCGTCGAGGCTTTCGTCCAAAAACTCCATTTGTTTGCTCCATCGGTAGTTGTAGTATTTTCTGCCTGAACTTGATAGCATTTTGCCTTTCCTCCAGCGGCTGTAGCCGTCCCGTAGTACCCGCCACATCTCTTTCGCTTTGGAACCTAATATAAAAAAACAGTATTTAAGTATTTATTTATTTTTGAAGGTTATTTCCTTTCCATAGGTCCGGCCTTTTGTCATTGAGTTGTATCCCACGAACCGCAATAGGTACACAATTGAAAATTTTATGAAGTATATTACCACAAAATAGATACTCCAATTTTTTTGGTAATATCTCTTATCTATTAGACAAGTCCGTCCGTCTGTCTGTGGTGCTGTTTCAGCGGCCAAACCGTAAGAGATAGATAAAGAGAATATTTAAGTTATAAGTTAAGAATAGTCTGATAAGACTACAAACCGGATTTGAGTAACGTAGCACTTCCGGTTTTCGAGAAATCAGGTTTTGGTGAACATTTGGTTCACTGGTTTGCTAGTCGACTATAATAAGAAATGATTGATATTGAATTAACAACAACGGCATTATTCGAATTACTGTATTTCTAATATTAAATCTCGTACGACAGTACGGAACCTTTCGTTTGCATGTCCAACTCGTATTTCGACCTCGACCCGACTCGAACCTGGAGCCTCTAGGCTACAGAACGACTTCATAACGTTGCTAACCACGCGGTCACGAAGGTTGCTTATATATAAACTACTTTGTATAAAAGCCGTATTTAATTAATTTAAGTACCTATTTTTATTTGTTATTATAATAATTAACTACAGTCGTTTATTTAAGTAGAGGATATACCTATCAAATAACGAGATATGACGTTAATGTACAAAACTAATATTATTAAAAAACATATGTTCGGCATTTTTTTATCAGCAGAGGACAGAAAAATAACAAAAACATCAAATGCAGTAAGGCCACGAAACGCGCCTGTATTTGTATTACGAATAGTGTTCTTATTTCTTCAAGGTGTATTGCTGTTACTGTGAAAATGTAGGTATTCACCATTTCTTGTTGCATGACGTGACCGACTGACTAAATACTCCACAAACCTATTAATCTATTCAAATCTACCTACGTAAACTCATCAAATTCGCAAAGTAAAATATTTCATAATAAGTGCTTTGATACTCGCCTTTAATGTTCAATGTCTCTCCGATGCTATCCCACAGCAACTTCTTGTATGCGATATTTTTGTGTTCCTTATGGTTGAAGTTGTAGATGCACTCGTATTTCTTCACCTCGTTGATCAATTGTTCCCTCAAATTGGTTTCTGTGAGTGACATTGTGGAAATTGTGGGGTGAAATGTAGCAGTTGAATCGTGTGACACGCGTACACACGCGCAGCTGCTGCGCAGCACTGGCGGGCGACGGCGTGACGCGATCGAGACGCCACGCCCGGCGGTCGCTGTGACGTCATGCCAGCTGCAGCACACGCATGCGCAGATGTGCGCAGTTGGACGTCGCTGCTTTGTTTGGCCCTGTGTGTGTGTGTGTGTCCATGGTTTGTGCTCTCGCTCAACGCAGATTTGGTATAACTTGAATGGTTATAAACAATAGATATTATTGATTTTAATTAATCACTATCCGCTTGCACTGTTCTAATGTATTAATTAGTAATTATTCTCAAACCAATAATGTGTATACCTACTCAACCTAAAGCCAGTCACTCTTTTTATCCTACTAATATAAATTTAAAGTGAAGGTGAACGAATTTTTATAAAATAATATGTAGTTTCTTACCTGGAATTGAGACAAAGCTACTTTGTATCCTGATTTTATTTAGGTATATTATTTTAACTGGTTCAAAACTTTTAAGCGGCTAATCAAGCAAATAAGTACCTAAGTACATGCGCTTTACTTTACTAACTAATTTTCTTTTAAAAATACTTTCTAACTGTCTTAATAAGTACCTTTCTTATACTTCGATTTCATTCGATAATACAAAGTAGCATAGCAGTAGGAAGTTTTTAAAGAAGTTGTATTCCTATGCAAAGCTTTCTTTGATGAAGTACATCTTTATATATATAATTCTTCTGTGAGTGTGTATGTCACTGAACTTCTCTTAAACGACTGGACCGATTTTGATGAAATTTTTTGTGTGTGTTCAAGGGGATCTGAGAATGGTTTAGATTCACAATTTTGTCCGCTGGACAATGTTTTTTTAATTAATTTTTAATTTATTAGTAGTTGTTGATTTTGGAATGTTTTACATTGGATCCGACAGACGGCGCTACCATACTAGACAGGACAACGTCCGTCGGGTCCGCTAGTTAACAATAAAATTGTACTAACTATAATGGCAAATTCATTGTTAAAAAATGCTCTCACCTTTTCTTTAAGCAAGATTATATTAAAAGTAGAAAAAGTGCCTTTTTAATAATGCGACCATATAAAAACAAACGTAGTTCCAACAACTTTTCATTTTAAGGTCGTATTTAATTTTGCGCCTTTGTAAATGAACGCTGCAATTACTTACCGCGTCGCAGTGGCTGGCACTACTCCGTAGGTGCTCTGTGAAGTGCGTTCTGAGCAAAGTGCTCTTGTAATCCGACACGGCTCGACTATACCATAATACATTAAAACCCGTCACAGACGTAGCTATAATATATATCTAATATATAAAATTCTCGTGTCACGGTGTGTGTAATTGAACTACTTCGAAATGAGCTCGACCTATTTTCCTGAAATTTTATATGCATAATCAGTAGGTCTGAGAATCGGACAACATCTATTTTTTATCGCTTCCTTCCCTATATTCCCTTCCCGATAATATATAGCCTTCTATAGGCTATATATTATCGGGCTACGACCAGTAGCAGCGGAGCATTAATGAAAAATGTTGCAAAAACGGGTAAAAATATTCCACTTGTGAGATTCTGTTGCGTGCGTTGGGTAAACGGTTAAAATTATACAAAAATCATGTATGACGGAATTCTTCCCCTTTAAAAGTTCTGTAAAAAAGTCCGCGACAGCCTATGTCCATATATTAAGTTTGACTCACAATAAACCTTTTTCTTCAAATTAACGCGGGTGAAACCGCAGGGGACCTCTAGTATATATATATATATGAATCATAGCAATACATATTACAACATATTTACATATTTTCAGTATAAATTTTCGAGTGACCGCACACGCAGCTATAATACCTATATTTTTCAATGGCGTCACCAAAATATGTCGACAGATACCTACATATATCTCGGTATATTTTGGCATATTAATATATATATATATTTTGATGTATTTTTAAAATACGGTATGTTCCATTTCTTACCGAACGCCTGCCAAAATATATAAGAATATATATTATGGTAGGTATAGCTCCCGTCTGTGGTAGTTTGCTGTAATATAATATATATCTCGATACATTAATATATATTATAGCTACGTCTGTGACGGGCTTAAGACAAAGGCGGCTTGAGGGAAACGCGAACCTAAATATAGAACTGTATTTTGGTTATTGTGTGAGGAGTAAAAGCCAATAAATAATTATGGCGGTCTTAATAAACAAAACAAAAATTTTACAAACCTGTATCTGATATTATTGAAGCATTTAATTGCTATATGTTTAAATGTAATAGTAACTACAATTGCTATTTCTGCTTTCAAATACTTAATACTTGTAAAGGTATTTGTTTGACATTGTGGGTTAAGTATAATGCGAAGAGATGGCGCCGCCCTGCAGCCTAAGAAGTCTAGAAGAAATTCGACACAGCCATTAGGGCCACGGAAGCATAATGGTCAGTGCATCCGCCCGGATAACGGAGAGTGCAGTTTTGAGTCCCGTCTGCTGCCTGGTCGGCATGGATTTTTTTCTACTATGTTTTTTTATTTTTATTTAAAACTGTATCTTTTTTATATTAAGATTTTGAAGCATTTAACTGCTAGATTTTTAATCCATCGGTCTAAAGAAAACATTACAAGAATAAAATCTACTCTAGAACGAGCATACAGCTGGACCGAGCGAATTTTTTTCTAGTAATATTTTAAAGATTGAAACCTGTATCAGTTGGATTTGCATAAACAAAACAAAGTTTTCTCTCTAATAAAAAATATTAAAATATACTTATGTGAGGAATACTACGACACAAGTTCGATTTTCAGCTCTTCCTATAGGTACTTTTAATTGAAAAAAAGGCGAAGCTCATTCGTTAGATTATGATCATTAGATTAATCTTAGAAATAACAAACATTTTTTTATCCCCGGTATAATTTTTAACACATCTTATTGCCCCGCAATCCCTAAAGCCGCCTCGGTTTTCAGATACTACAGCTTTTAAGGTTCTACTAATTATGTAGACAGCAGGTCTTTTATTCAGCTCAGTAGTTGGTACACTCGCGGAAAGACCCGCTCTGTCACCCATAATGCCATAATCGCTTGCGGTAGCGGCGTAGTAAAAATTCATTCATAGACATGTAATTATCGCTGTCTTACTTTTTCGTATAGCGCTGTCGCGATCACGATGCGGATGACAAATTGCAACTAAAACAAATGCAATTCAATTCATTATTCAATCAATGATATGCTCTGTCTTACTTTTGTGCGGCGGCCCGGAATGGCGCGTCCGACGCGAAGGCGGGGAGTAGTAAAAACTACTGTAGAAAACCGTTCAAAGCATTTTGTTCGCCAAGTGACAGAGCGCAAAATTCCGCGATAGTACCTATCTTTAGTTTAAAAGAATAAAAACAAATAATGAACCTTTGAATTTAAAAAAAAAAGTCAAATGTGGAGTATGAAGAAGCTCTGATCGTTAGCTATATATCTAGGAATAGACACACTTCTTCAGAATGAATGGGTTTCTACCAGCATTCCATTAGTTTTAATGAAACAAGCTCATCAAATAACCTTTTAAATTCGCAAGCAGCCGAACACCATTTCAGAAAAATCCAACGATTTCTTACTGCTTGATAATTTTTTAAATGATTCAATATCTTCTGGGTAATAACGACTCATAATAAATTAGTAGTTACTTAAAGAATATTATGTATTTTAATGGTTATAATAGGGTATTTGACAGTATTAAAAATAAAGTGCCAATTGTTAGCATCTGTGTTTAGAATAAATATTGGCAGGGGTTTTTACTATTTTTACAAAAAAATATTCATAATTTTACTAAAAACCCACGAAAATGATAATAGTTTTCTTATCTATTGTTGCGTGACCCAAAACGCTTGGGATTGGCGGAGCCTAAAATGACGTCACACGCAAGTAAACTACATTGTATCGTTTGACGTTTTAATAACAGTCGTGTGACGTCACACACTAGTAAGACGCCATATTGACCAGAAAAACGTTTTCGCGGCAACTTGAAAAAGGAGTTTTTGATTTGGTTATTTTTACTGAAATACACAACAGAATGATGAATATCCATCTTTTTACGGACTCTATAAACATTAGTCAATAACGTGAGATCGTTTTCTAAAACTTGTCAAATACCCTATTTCTTTTATATAAATTACTATAACCAAATTTTGTTATGCATGTGTGTCTCTCTGTGTTCCTGACTAACATTCTAATATTGTAGGAACGTTTAATGTAATTTACAAAGTCATTGTTGTAAATTACATTAAAATGCGATTTACTTGGTCGTGCTATCTCTTAGGCAAACAACGTTGAGCTCGCCGCTGCAGCATCATTGTGATGCTGTTGAAATTAGCAATTCGCTACGTTAGCTATTTTGCGACGAAATAGAACTTTGTAATTTTTTTTAGTATTTTTAAAATTATGCAAATAAATCCTATATTGGTATACATATAATGAGGAATTGAAAAAGGTAGGGAAAATCGTATTTACCGCTTGAATGCAATTATCCGTGTGGACGTAAAACACAAATTAGAACGCAACCTCACCCTTTATACATAAAAAAAAAACGACGGGTTGCACTCCGGGAGTGCCGGCAGAAGTGAAAACTTTAATATTAACGTTGTGCATTTTTGATATTTTGGAATGGTTAGGGAATAATTTTGCACGAATTGCTTCAATTATCAGTACAAAAGTACTATCATTTATGTGGTAGAATACAATATTTATTTATTGCGCTATCGTACACAAACATGACAATTTATTACATTAAAAAAGTTTACCTCTCAGAAAACATGAATCACATTTAAGTGCACCTAGCGACATCTATTGTAAAAAATGCATGTTCTTCGCAATAAAGCTGCCACCTTACTTATTATTAAAGTATGACAAAATAAAATATTACTATGTTTCGTCATTATATTTATTTATTGAATATTGTAATATTGAATTTATATATTGAAGGTCAACAACCTTCACAATTTTATTGTTTTCTTCAGACCCTCGATCAGGCCGCGTGTCATGACGCGATCAGCCCACATGTCCTGACGTGAATTTAGAGATTTTTCACTTCAAAAATTAGAACCTTTTTCTTTTTGAAATCGTTTATAAACAGCAAGCGGGTGTGCCATTATTGTTCAATTTCCTTCCTCGTTTTCGTGCGTATCTCAGTTTTAACCTGCATCTTTACTTTAACTAGTAATAAATACATATTTTCAACCCTCACACCAATTAGCCTAGCCCCAAAGCAAGCACCGTAAGCTTGTGTTATGGGATTCTAGGGTAACGGATAGAATACATATAGTGATACATATACTGATAGATATATAAGTAAAAACGGGTTAACGTTTTACAAGTATCAGATGTGATTGGTCTAAATTCTCTAAAGATAGGTAGATCAGGTTTTGGAGCGCATTAAAGTATTTTTAATGCGATCAATTAGCTTCACGCCCAATAATTCGATTTATTGACTAATACTTGAAAACTCAACGTCGAATCTAAAATAAAAAGATTATAATGCGATTCAACTAAGAATAGGACCGACTGGGCGCCATATTGTGTTGTTATAGATGTCAATTCAAACCAAATAGGTAGAGTGAGCAAAATAAAGTATTTTTTAATAAAACTTATTTACTAAGATTAAGTGAGAAAAAGCATTAGATTTTTTCAAAAACATTTATGTAATAAGATTGAGAAAAAAAAACTACCGATTTTTAATACTTAAAGTAATATTTGATTGACGATTTATTGCGGATTATTGATATATCAACCATTCATGGCCAAAGGTCAATAAGTTAAAAAAAAATCAACCGATATTAATTATCAATATTTGTTGTTGTTTGTTAACAAATGTTTGATTTTTATTCTTGAATTAGCGGAGAGCTAAAAAAGGGTTCCAAGGTTTTTTTGCAAACCGTACTTTTCTACATTTGACAGATAGAGGTCATTGGCTTTCCTATTCTTATTTGAATCGCGTTATAACGTTAAAGTTTTAGTTCAATCTGACACCGTGATCGTCGTCGAAGCGTATATTGTATAGCGATCATAGTAATTATACTAAACGGCACTTCCATGAAAGTGACAAGTAAACGATTGACCGCATCATCACTTTATCTCTCTCACATTTCAACATCAGGATATCAATGTCCCCACAGCAGAAGCACAGGCCGCGACCCACCATGCTGGTCCAGTGCGGGTTAGCTAACGACTGCAGATGCAGCCGGGAATAACGGCTCAACGACTTTTTGGTCACCCATCCAATGACCGACCGATCGCAGGCCGAATGCGGTTACCACCTACACCATCGAGCTCCATGCTCTTTAGTACAGCTATGTACTCAGTTTTACTTTACGGTTGGACAGGACACATTCAGGTTTAATTGGCATATCGAGTGAACGCTGCGTGGTAAAAATTGAATACTCTAAAGGCCCGTATTACAGAATAACAACTAAGTGTTGATCTTTACTTGAGTACAGTTAGAAAGGGATATCGCTATGTGCTATATATAGCGACATCCCTTTCTAACTATGCTCAAAACTAGATCAATCACTGAGAATCTTAATATATATAAATCTCGTGTCACAATGTTTGTCCTCAATGGACTCCTAAACCACTGAACCGATTATAATAAAATTCGCACACCATGTGCAGTTCGATCCAACTTGAGAGATAGGATAGTTTAAATCTCAAATTATAGTCGCAATTTTAATTTATTGCAAATTATAACTTTTGGGTGGTACGAAGTTCGCCGAGTCAGCTAGTCTTTCTATAATACGGGCCTAAGTATGGCTGTAAAAGTCTAGATTTCTGAAACTTTCTCAAAACGTCTCCAAATATATCTACATTCGATTAAATTTATTCGTGCTGGACAATGAAGAACCTTCTTCTAATTTGTAGGCAGTTTTTGGAATGAAGTTTTAGCTAAATAATTTCATCACACTAACTAAACTAAAATTATAAAGGCGAAAGTTTGCGAGTGTGTATGCTTGTTACTTCTTCATGTCTAAACGGCTGGAGCGATTTAAAAAAAAACTTGGTATAGAGTTAGCTGACATCCTGGATTAACACAGCGCTACGTTTGACTGCGGGAATAGACCACTGACAATAAGGTCCAACTGGCAGTAGGGTATATATCTTAAAGGTCCAATGGGCACCAAAAAAGAGGTCCAATCATAATCATAAATCAAAATCATTTATTCAGTTTAGGCTGTTACAAGCACTCATGAATGTCTAGAAGCTACGCCATCGGTTCGTAAATCTACGGCGGGAGACCTTGTACTGAGAAGAACCGGCAAGAAACTCAGCAAGGGCTGTTATTTTCTCCCTGTTTTATTATTTACAGAGTCGTCAAATTGAAAAATGACTTCAGAGATGATTCATGAAGTCACCTTTCATTACATAATTATTAAATATACATTAATTGTGTACCTGCATTTTGATTGCTGTGTCATACCGTATAAATACAAATACAATGGGCACATTGAATATAAAATTTTTAAGAAGGTCCAATGGACACTTTTTGCTTTTGGGTCGAATCTTGAGGGTCCAACGAGTACTAGACCAAATCCCTAACAAACCGCGGGCAACACCGCGGGGCACAGCTAGTTGTAAATAATACAAAGCTCACCACATCATTTTAGTTTTGAAAAGTCAGAAGCACACATGTTTAAATAATGTAGCGTGTACCTGAATTATGAATTACAGGGTAAGAAGGGACGGACGGATGAAATTTTAAACAAAGCGCTTCAGACATGCCTGTCGGCCGGGATAGGGCGCGGATCAAAGCTCTGATCTCTGCTCCCCGTGGGGACACGACTCTACGGTAGGGCTGCCATCTCGAAAATGTGGCAACAAGGATAAGACGCATGATAACCCCGGATTTTGGAGCCCAGAACCCGGACAGACCAATAAAAAAAAACAGTTAAAAATGTGTTAATCCAATAAAATTTTGTTGGCTCCAATTTGAGACTTGATCCAGTAACATCTCAATCTCGGACAAAAGTCTGTCTTTACAGCCTTCTTCTTCCATCCGAAGGATGTTTGACCGGCCAGTGTAAAAAGTTTCAGTGCTGTCATCCACATAGCAACGAATGCTGTTATTGCGGACAGTGTAGGCGACAAAGCAGATCTTTGTTGGAAGTCAGCATTTATGGTTACAGTGTTAGAATAGATTTATTTATTTTCAAAGATATAAAAATTGACGGATTAATTGGCGACCCAAAACAGGAATTTTTTAATTATAATTTTTATTATTTTAAAGCATGTAACTGCTTGATGTTTAAATCTAAAGAAAATATAACTAGAAAAAATTCCACGCGGACCAGGCAGCAGACGGGACTCGAACCCGCACCCTTCGCAATCCGGGCGAATGCACTGACCAATAAAAATTTTAAAATAATTGCTATTTCTTCTTTCAAATGTTTAATACTTGTAAAAGTATTCATTTGACATTGTGGGTTACCTATAATGCGAAGAGATGGCGCTGCCTTGCAGCTTAAGAATGGCTAGAAGAATTTCGACGCGGTCCGTGAGGGCCGCGGTAGCATTATTGGTCAGTGCATTCGCCCGAATTGTGCCTGGTCCGCGTGGAATTTTTTCTAGTTATATTTTCTTTAGGAATTTTTTAAACCCGGACTACAAATGAAACCCCGCCCGGACGCTCCCCGGACGCCCCGTAAACTAGGACAAATCCGGGGAAACCCGGACGGATGGCAGCCCTACTCTACGGTAATTGGGTTAGCTGTTAGAACCTACCTGGAAGGGGACCACACACGCTGGAAATAATTAAACTCATTTTCGGGATGTCGTACCAGAAATAAACTGATACCTACCTAATTAATTTAATGAAATATTGTCCTACATACTCACCTAAATAAACTAACTTTACCTGCTACTAGGCTACACAAAATCAATAATTCTTTAAATCTAAAGAAAAGTTTACTAGAAAAAAATCCACGCGGACCAGGCAGCGGACGGGACTCGAACCCGCATCCTTCGCTATCCGGGCGAATGCACTGACCATTATGCTACCACGGCCCTATTAGCCATTTGTATTGTGCATCTAGCATCTCTTTTAGCCTTTTAGCAAGTTTCAGAAGACCAATTAATCGTGATCGCTGTTAGCGATAAGACCGCCCTTATTCTTTAATTATGTACTTCATGTTTTATGTTTTCTGTGGTGTAAAATAAAGAGTTTTGTATTGTATTGTATTGATTGTAAGTTTTACAAAAAATATCGCTAGGTATACTGGCCGTAGTCCGTCTTATGAATTGTTACAAATCTCTTATCTATTAGACAAGTCCGTCCGTCCATCTGTCTGTGGTGCTGTTTCAGCGGCCAAACCGTAAGAGATAGATAAAGAGAATATTTAAGTTATAAGTTAAGAATAGTCTGATAAGACTACAAACCGGATTTGAGTAACGTAGCACTTCCGGTTTTCGAGAAATCACGAATTTCAAACGAAACCACACAAAATCTCCGAAGTTCTCAATTAATTAAATACTTTTTTTTTTAAGTCAGGTTTTGGTGAACATTTGGTTCACTGGTTTGCTAGTTTGTTTCTAAACCCGAAGATGTAAAGTATAAACAATTGAATAACGAACTTCGTTCCGAACATTGTTTAGTGAAATTGATAGGCGATTGTTTTTTCTGTGATATAGAGATTTATTTTCTTTGTATCATTACAGAACATGGCTGCAAAGCCTTCAGATGCAAGCAGCGCGAGTTCTGCGTGAGCGCAGACTTGATGTGCGACGGTGTAGACCACTGCGCCGACGGCTCCGATGAAGACACTGCCACACTCTGTCCCGGTATGATACTCTTATTCTTTTTTGTTTAAAGCACCTTGTCAGACCGTCTATGGTCTGAACAAGGGCTGACCCAGCTTTGGCGCCAGGCGGGAGGGGGGGGGGGGTGGGTCATGACCCCCATGAGCCCCCTTCTGGATCCGCCCTTGGGTCTAAAGAATGTCTTTACTATTAATGTTGAGAGTCAAGTCGCGCAAACGCATTGGTAGTTCAGAGGTGCATCATAGGTACGTGCCACTCGGGTCTACACCGATCATTTCATGTAATTTGCCTACCTTTGGCAAGAGGTGTCAGAATAGATCAAGGCCGGCTGCGCTGTCTCAAGGTGGTAGTGCATAGCATTAAGGTTGTAGAGTAAGCCCCTGTTGTTGCAAAAAATCTCGACAAACATGGAAGGGGTGCCTATGACACCTGCTCTGAACACGAGCATTTTGAGTGTTCAGTGCGGTTTCGCCTCTCTAGGAAAAGGGATGACAGCCTCGACGTTTACGTCCAGGACACAGCACAGAAGAGGAAAAAGAGCGTACTCCTTCCTTAAAGGCCGGCATCGTATTTGTGATACTCCTGGTGTTGCAAGTGTCCATGGGCGACGGTGATCACTTACCATCAGGTGAGCCGTCTGCTCATATGCCCACTATAACATAAAAAAAAGGTTTCTACAGCGTGAAAACAGCTCCATCATGAAGGAAGGGAAGAAAGTGAGGGTTGGTTCTCCTGTAGTGTGTTTCACCGAGTGAGCGATTCGATGCAACATAGTACGTAATACTGCTTCACGCTGTGGTATTCTGTGAGCACGTGATATAGCTCCAGTCGAGTAGCCCCATTTATGCTGCAGCCTAAACCACTGCGCGGCTCTCCCACGACAATGGTACTTTTGTTATGAAAAGAGGGCACTAACGACTGTAGAACACAAAGCGCTTTACTTTGTAATGGTAAAAGCTCCGTAAACACAGGCAATCAGCAGAGCGAAACATCAGCCCAGACCATTTATCTTATTAGGTAAACTACCTATTATTGTACACGCACCCACGCGCATGAACACACACCCACACACTCAAACGCACACACTCACACACACACACACACATACGCACACAAAAACATACAGATTCATTTGCATTAAATTCATAACATTAAGTTCTTAAGATGTACGCTATTGAGATTGAGTTTACTTATCCGGGATGAGCCACTGACTCCTGAGATACAGGACATGTCCTAGTTTGGGAGTTTGACACTCACACTGTTTTGAAAATGTTATTGGTAAGGTGCTTATTGTAAAATTAATGTTCATGTACCATTTAACTATTATTAAATAAATATTATTATTATTAAAAAAAAATATTGCCACTGACTTATTCGGCCTTACTCTAAACGTAGGCTAAAACTGGCCTGAAATTGATGCTGTCACTAAAATGCTTAAGCTTAATGTTATTACAAATATAGGTGAAGACCACATGTGTTATGGAATAGAAGCAACAAATGCTGGTAAACTGTCAATGAAAAAGCCTCTTACAGCTTTCTAAGATTAAAAAAAATACATTCAATTAACAATTTCCCGGTTGTTTACTAAAAGAAACAAATACAATGTTGTATTTTAAGCATTTAACTGCTAGATGCTTAAATCTATAAAAAAAAATACTAAAAAAATCCACGCGGACCAGGACACGGCCATCAAGGCTGCGGTAGCTCAATGGTCAGTGCATTCGCCCGGATAGTGAAGTCCCGTCTGCTGCCTGATCTGAATCGAAGACAATATTAGGTTTAAATCAAGAATAACTTTAGTCCGCGTTTTGTAGTAGGAGGTTTGAAAATGAAATGAAAATGAAAAAACCTTTATTGGCCATCTTATATAAATATAAACAAAAAATAAAAGAAGAACTTAACCTAAAAACAAAAAATAACAACATAAAACTAAGACGGCCAATCAGGACCCTGCCTCAGCTTATGCTGACACAGTGGGAGAATACTCTCTCACTGTATCAGCGCTGGTATTCTGGCAGGGCCTGTGCGAGGACGTATTAGGCGCTAACAAGTAACAAAACAATAAATTTATGCTTAACTAATCATATTGTATTGCGCATACACACATACATACACACACACGCTGATATAAATATATATATTCACAACATTTATATATATATATACACATTAAATACATATCTCTTATCTATTAGACAAGTCCGTCCGTCCATCTGTCTGTGGTGCTGTTTCAGCGGCCAAACCGTAAGAGATAGATAAAGAGAATATTTAAGTTATAAGTTAAGAATAGTCTGATAAGACTACAAACCGGATTTGAGTAACGTAGCACTTCCGGTTTTCGAGAAATCACGAATTTCAAACGAAACCACACAAAATCTCCGAAGTTCTCAATTAATTGACATAATCCTAAATAAATAAACGCAGCGCAGCACTCCGAACGCTCCGGTTTGAGTTCCTCACTGACTTAATTAGCTGTTCACTGGCTTATTAATATTTGTATTGTATCGCCAGAGAGCGGTGGCGCCGGCGTAGGCAGCACGTGGGTGCTGGCTGGCGCGGGCGGTGCACTGCTTCTGGCACTGCTGGCGGCGGTGCTCTGCTGCTACTGTCGTCGCCGCGCCGTGGCGCAACGAACGCATTTACAGAGTACACTACTTATTTATTCTTCTGCATCTTCATCAACCTGTAAATGTCCCCATTGCTGGGGCACAGGCCTTCCCTATAGATGGAATAGGGAGATTGGGTCATGACTCACCACGCAAGCCCAGTGCGGATTGGTGGGTGATAACGACTGCAGTTGCAGCCGGGACCAACGGCTTAGCGTGCCTTCCGAAGCATGGAGGAGCTCAAGATAGTAAATTTTTGGTCCTCCATCCAATGACCGACCACTGCGAAAGTTGATTGACCTCAACGATCGCAGCCGAATGCTCTATCCACTTGCGCCATTAAGCTCCTCCTCGATTCTTATTTATACTTATTTATTAAATAAATAAATATTTCCAACACTCACACCAATTAGCCTAGCTGCAAAGTAAGCACTGTAAGTGTCGTCGCACACGGGCCACCGACCACAACCACAAAACGCCGCCAACGGCATATTTCTTTTAGTTTTTATAGATTTTATATGGACTCGCCACACGCCGGTGGCCGCCACACGCTACAAATCGTCGTTGCTCGCTTCTTGTGGCCCGCACCGGCCACTTAATGCGCCGATACAAAACGCCGCCACACGTCACTCGCGCGATTCCCCACCCCTCTCTCCCTTGCCTTAGTCGGCCGCTGTCGCGCGCTTCAGCCACTTTAGTAGCCGCTTCTAGCTCCTCGTGGCGGCGTGTGTAGCTGTGGCGTGTGGCCCGTATGCGACACTAAGGTTTGTGTTATGGGAAACTAGGGTAACGGATATATATACTGTACATTTATGCATAAGTATATTCTTTTAGAAATACATATTAAACATCCATGACTGGAGTACAAATGCTCGTATTCATCATACAAACATCTGCCCCCACCGGGATTCAGACCCTGGACTCGGCTACACCATGAAACCCGGCGTACAAACCACTCGGCCACGGAGGTCGTCATTTATTAGCCCAGTCGTTTAGAATTAGAATTGCCACAGCGGCTCGTCCTGTTTTTGTCATCACTCAGTAGATCAAAACATTTATCTATGTTCTCTCTCTTTTTAACAGCTTCTCTCTCTTAACGTGCCAGTAATCAATAACCTGTGTTTCTAACTAAGGTTGTAACGTATCTCAGGGACAATAATTTTGGCAATCATAGTTTCCATTTTACGCAATGTGTATTGTGACAATGATAGATAAATGTGTTGAACTACTGAGTGATGAGAAAAACGGGACTAGCCGCTGAGGCAATTCTATCTTATCATCCACATGATTATCAATTTCAGCACACTATCCTTATTTTATATTATTTATTTCAGGATAAGCACAATTTCAAAAATATCACACACTTTTTATCTGTTTTAATTTCGTATAAGAATTTCAACTACTGAAATCGCTATTCGAGAGTGCTGGACACTTACCGGCATTTCTCTATATTCTTACATTTATTCATAATATAAATAGCAATTTCCCTTTTCCACGTTTTACACCGATTTTATTTATTTTTTTGATTTAATTTTGTTTATTTCTCTTATCTCTTTTCTAAATTTTTTTTTCGGCCCGTCTACCACCTGCGCCTGCCGTTCCACCAGCAGTATAGGTCTTCCTACCACTTTGCTGACCAACCTACCTGCAGCGCCCGCCTGACCAGAGCGATGCCGCCTTGTAGGAACGCCGCCCATCTCCCAGAAGCACGTTCTCCCAACCCTCGAGTCTCCACAGAAGATAGCCGATGACCCACACCCTCTACACTTGACACCCCAACTCTTCACACTATATCCCTATTATTTTTATATCATTTTCCTGTATTTTTCTTTGTTTTTGTAAATATATATGCTGTAATCTTTTCCTGTCGTTCTTTTTTATTTTGTTTTCCTCTTTCCTTATCGATTTATTTTACCACTACACGAAAATGTATCCAAAATTAAGAGTACGAAAGGGAGCTGGGTTTTTAAGGGCTACATTTTTCGTGGCTGGTTTTAGTTTCCAATAAGAACAACTATGCGCCAGTTTCAGTTTAGCGAAACCCCGAAGCGCCTACCTTTCGTGCGCAGTGATTTGTGCTAACTTCACAGCTGTCACGGTAATAATATCATACAGTATTCTATCTTCATACAAACGGTCGGAAAGCGAGTCATACCTACGCCACTCGAGTTCGAGGCACTCTCGGCGGGCACCCAGTCGCGAATGCGCCGCCGCGCCGCAACGACGACCGAACGGTGTGAATTGTTTTTTATGCAGTTAGCCGTACTTAAACGTGCGTTTTGTATTGTAAATATTTGATTGAATTAAATAGGCGGCCCTACCGCGTGCTAACGTAGCGCTCGGCCGTAGGCATTTATTTCAAGGACAGGGCGGAGTCACAATACTGTATAGATAATATTACCGTGCAGCTGTCATTAAGAGTTTGAATCTCAATTTACAGTGATAGGAACAACCTATGCGCAGGTTTCAGCTTAGTGAAACCCCGACCCGCGTACATTTCGTTTACTGCTCATTTACAGTGTCCGTAGTACGAGTTTGAGCTCACGAAAACTATCATAGTTTTCGTAATTGTAAAACTCGTACTAAGGGTACAGGTCGCGGCACGTAACTCTAGCGCTGAACAAACCGCGACAGGGACAGCTGCGCATGGGCACGACTGGAGAGCCAATCGGCGCAACGCACGCCCACCCGCGCACCTCGTTTCACCCTAACACATGTAGCAACTTGCAACTTATAGTAGCCATACACACTACGAGAAATCGTTACGATCCGACTTTACAGTTCGAACGGAACAGTTTATCGTACGTGTCGTACGTATAGGAAACTGTGCAGTTTTATAACATACACGCTACGATTTATCGGTACCGTTCGGACGGTACAGTCTAATCGTAACGATTTCTCGTAGTGTGTATGGCTACCATAAGAGTTCGAATCGCAATTTACAGTGATAGGACCAACCTATGCGCATTTTTCATAGGGATGTCGAAAGTTGAAAAAAATATCGATATATCGATACATCGATATTTTAAAAAATATCAATATCGGCTTCGATATATCGCGAAAAAAACATCGATATATCGGACCAATTTTCCCAAAAATATACGATATTTTCCACAGCTCCTTTTACAGTAGCTCACGAAATATGACACGGGGAATAATAATGGAACGAAAATTATCTCCCTAAAAATAGACCCTATTTTCGAATGATGACATAGACAATACTAAATACAGCACAGATCATAGATATGTTGAATATCATTAATCTGAGATCCAGTTAATATTTTTCCAGATACGAATTTAGTTAGATCGTGATATGCCGCTAATAATTAAAAAAATATCGTTTTTGATACGAATTTCGATATTGGTTATTTTGTATCGATGTATCGATATATCGAATCAAAATATATCGGCAAAAAATATCGATATATCGATATATTTTCAACAAGCCTAATTTTTCAGCTTAGTGAAATCCAGACCCGCGTAAATTTCTTTTACTGCTCATTAACTCTAGCGCTGAACAAACCGCGTCAGGGACAGCTGGGCATGGGTACGACTGGAGAGCCAATCGGCGCAACGCACGCCCACCCGCGCACCTCGTTTCCCCCTAACCCATCTTTAATTTTTACTTCTGCGCAATAACGGTCAGCGCCAGAGTTACATGCCGTGACTTATACCTATGTATTATTCGCGTCCGTAGTGCAACAGATGGCGAGCAGCAACGGCGCGGGCAAGCCGACGGGCGCGGCTGACGCGCTTCTCCCGGGCGGCGGCTGCGGCGACACGCGCTTGCCGGGAAACTGGGCGCTCCCTGCGGGCCCGCGCGGGTACACAGCGGCGCGCCCGGGCCGCCTGCGGGCGCGGGCCCAGCGCTGAGCGCCGCCCCGCACAAGGACGAGTGGTTCGTTTAAACCTTAAGGCTGCCAACTGGTAACAACGTGCACACTACAGAACATTCCTGTTAATAATAAACGAGGCATGAACTCGACCTTCTTACTGATAAAAGTGGGGAGTGAAAACGCTGTGTGCCTGATTCTGGCATAGGTCTGTGAACTTAAAACTTATTTGAGAGTAGCGAGTTTTTGGCGGGATTTGATCGAGTGTGGTTGACGTGTTATTTTAATTATTCTTAAATTCCTTCATAGTGGATATTGTGAAATGAAATTGGTGTGATTTTGTGTTACAACTGTCTGCGTAACTGAAGAATTAGTAGAATCGTCGAAATATACGCTATTCCGGTTAAGTGGACGTGAGAATTTTATTGTAGTATTGACTACCTCACAGAAGCTTATCGAAAAAGCCAGCTCGATACATTTCGTGCCAAACACTTCAAGAAACATTAGAATGCGTCTCACCGACATTCTAATGTAAAAAGAAAAACAGAATAATTTAACTTAAGACTAGGCTGTATGGGCATTGTTCCCCATGCCTTCCCTGAAAAGGGAGAATTTAACAAAAAAAAAATATTGGAGAGTAGCCTTTCGTTTCTACAGAAACGCTGTACGCAGCTGCGAGGAGATGAGTAGAGTGTAAAAGAAATTGACTTATGGCCTTGCTGAAAATACATTGTGTATGTATTTTGAACAATGCTAATTCACACATAACGTATTTTGAGCAAGCCCCTGGTCGATTTCTATAAGACTTTGATCAGCTCCACTTCTGTGGAAACGCAGCCTTATTTTCTTTATCTTTAAGTCTCAATCTACCGAGCATAATCAGAATAGAATGTATTTTTTTGTCAAATTTAGTTTTAGGTTTGAAGAATTATCCCAGAATCAAACACACCAGTCTTGGCCATAGACAATGACTTGAGCCACAATCGAATGTAGTTTGAATACTCTGTCGGATGAGAAAAAGCGATAGTGTTGCCAGTACCTATACCGATCGCTTCGTCTGTCATTTATTCTGTAGGGGATGAAAAGGAGAGACGAGTGTCGAATATACAAATATCAAATATGTACGAGTATAGCCATGTGAGGTGCCGGCGTAAAGTAACAACAGGCGGAAAAAAGTGAGACAGACGAAGCGATTGTGCGGCCTATCATTTTCTCTCTATATAGTGAGGCGAGTGTCGCTCAAGTCATTTTCTATGGCTAAGTTAGTTAGGTAGTTTTTTGTTTATATCACTCAAATGACAACTTGTGATTCGACAGTAGGAGACAAAATACTGCGTAACGTACGTATTCTTCGTTTGTTTATTATTAATAAGGGTGGATGTTTAGCGTTCTATCTATTGACTGTTAAAAATCGCTGTACGATTGTTTTGAAATAGTTAGGGAAGATTGAGTAACTATTGAATATGGTTGTGTAAATCTGTCAGTTTTATTTTTTTTAATTGTTTTTTGTTAAAGAACCGATAGTACGTAAATTCTAATAAATGTGAGATCGATACGACTTTTAGAGAAATGTTTTATAATTACTATGAAACTTTATATTTTGTATTGTAGTAAAGGAATGACACGATGTTTTTATTATTTCGTATTTATTACAACGATATTGACTAGGTTCCAAACTTATTCGCACTTAGGTACCTACTTAGTTTGTTACACTACTTGAACGACAATATAGATATTAAACATATCAACGCTGCATATCTTAGTTGAGTAGTATGATTATCTATTTATTAGTGAAAATTTTGATTCAACAAAACTACATATTCTAATATTCAACTGACTTGAATTATATACATTGATAAATGAACTTTTAAGCAGTTAAGTTGATTTTTAAACCTATTACCTTATGTTACAAACAACAACACAAAATAAATGTTAAAAGAGTTCTACAGTACTTATTTTGATGTATAATAGTGCTAAAAAAAACTTACTCCGCCTTATTACAAACAGTATACTAAAGTTGAACCTGGACTTAAACTTTTGTTTGCTAAAAAGAAGACAGAGACAACTGTAGGTTTAAACTTTAGCCTGCGTTTTGGAATATGGTGAACTGTGTTTGATTAAAGGCACAATTCCGCAATGGGCTGCAGGCGACACTGCTAGCGCCTGTGGCTGACCGTGCATTATCGTACCGTCGCCGCGCTCGGAATCAATTTCATACAGATTTATAGAAACTAGTAGTGTCGCCTGCAGCTGTGGTCTGCGGTTCATTTCGGACTTGTACCTTAAAACTTGTCATAGGCGAAAAACTTTCCTGTGTAACGTATATGTAACTGTGGTAGAACGCTAAACATGATAGTGTTGGTTGCGTCATCGCTCAGTTGGCAGCCCTGGCTCGTCCAGGCGGCCCGGTCGGGCCCGCAGGGCGGGGGCCCCGTACCTGCCCCCCCCCCAGTCGCACGCGCCGGCTCAACAATGGCGGCGGTCTATCCGAACGTAATCTATGTATGTACTACTACCTGATTTAGCAGAGATTTTTTTAGGGAATTTTTACTCGTTCTAGTGGAGTATGAGTATGACGGATGCGTAAGCGGTCGTGCGTGCGTGCATGCTCGTGCGTGTGTCCAGGTTTTTTGGTGTTACGATAAAACGCAATGTAAATTTACATAACTAACTATAATAACTAAATATGATGGTGACAATTAAACATTTTTGGCTTATTGTTCGTATTTATTGTGTCATTTTGATGCGACCGTGTCCCCTTAAGGCCTCCCCCCCCCCCACCCTTTCGTAGATGAGTTATTGTAAATAAATAAATATTTCCAACACTCACACCAATTAGCCTAGCCCCAAAGTAAGCTCTGTAAGGCTTGTGTTATGGGATGCTAGGGTAACGGATAGAATACATATACTGTACATATATAAGTATATTTATATAGAAATACATATTAAACATCCATGACTGGAGTACAAATGCTCGTATTCATCACACAAACATCTGCCCCCACCGGGATTCGAACCCGGGACCTCTCGAGTCGGCGACACCATGAAACCCGGCGTACAAACTACTCGGCCACGGAGGTCGTCTATGAAGGATTTATCGGTCAACAATATTGGATGCGTTTTTGCGATATCTATTTTAATACACTAAGTATAAGAATAACTACGAAGTAACACATTGCTGCGATAATAACAACGCAATAGAACTACTATGCCGAAATATCGCAATCGCAACTGATAATAAATCGCCTAATGGGAGGGAGGCCTAAACCTTTTCCTACTTCCTAAAAATATTTTTCTTTATAGAAAGAAAACCAAATTAAGGTCTCTTTAAACCTTCTGGACTTTGAACAATCACCCACTGTCAAGAGTTAGACCACTGGTGCCTTGATGTCACGTGGTTAGCGCGCAATGCACTGGAGGCAGCGTGAGTTAAACTAGAGTGCCATAATTTTATCACTCATTGCTCTTGAAGTTGCTAAAGCATTAGGTATTAGAAGTATCGCGTGTGACCTTAGATTTAAACAAAAAGGGTAGATACGGCACTAGCCTCACAAAAGTGATCCGCATGAATTGTGGTCCACGACCCTAATCGCTTTAGTCACAACTTTATGCAAACGACGTACATGTGAAGGCTAATTAGAAATATTGATAATATTTTGTGTTTATATGATAAAACAATGCCTAAGTGTGTTTTTAAAAAGTGCTCAAATTGCGCAAGAACTAAAAATAAAACCGACGGCATCACTTTTCATTCGTAAGTACTATAAAATATATTTTTTCATAAAAATTGCTGTTTGTTTTAAATCTTATATAAGTGACGTCGAGTACTGGTCGCGTGATTGGTCGGTAGTGCAGTGACGCGGATCTCGCCGTCTCGTTCGCGCTGCCGTTGAAACTTAACGTGCGGTTTCTTTCGGGTCGGTAATGCAGTGACGCGGATCTCGCCGTCCCGTTCGCGCTGCCCGTGGGATCAGTTTTTGTTTGATGCAAGTATGAGCGTACCGTATCTACCCTTTTTGTTTTAATCTAAGCGTGTGACAGACACTTGGGAATCATGTAAGCAGGTTGTTGCCGAGTAGTCTACTCATCGACAGCGTGAGGTCAGCTTGGTGTGGCGATGTAAAGTTGATATAATAAGTTCATACGGCCACAAAGAATAAATCGTACTAAGCGAGGCAGCAGCGTTGAGAAGCTCGATGGCGCAGGTGGTTAGGGCGTTCGGCTGCGATCGTTGAAGTTAAGCAACTTTCGCAGTGGTCGGTCATAGGATGGGTGACCAAAAATCTTCTACGTGCTTCCGTGCCGTGCAACCGTGCTTCGGAAGGCACATTAAGCCGTTGGTCCAGGCTGCATCTGCAGTCGTTGGCACCCGCCAATCCGCTCTGGGCCCGCGTGGTGGGTCATGGCCCAATCTCCCTATTCCATCCATAGGGAAGGCCTGTGCCCCAGCAGTGGGGATATTAATAGGCTGATGATGATGAAGCGAGGCAGCACTGGTAACGTACACGTAAAATATCATAAAAATCAAGGTACATATAGAAGTTTTGACCTGATACTACAACTCAGGGACGGAAGATAAACAGCAAAAGTTACCAGCATTCGGCAAGCAGGTTGAGCATACTCATCTCATCAGACCTGATGCTGAATGTCAATGGAGTCCAGTTAGAGCGGTCGGAGCAGACACTAGCTTCTCTTCTGCACTGTCCACCCGTTTCTTAGATTTCACGCACATCACTCATTAAATGAATGAATGGATATTCATTATTTTTTCTTACAAAGAAACATTGTTGGAGCTCGATGGCGCAAGTGGCTAGCGCGTTCGGCTGCGATCGTTGAAGTTAAGCAACTTTCGCAGTGGTCGGTCATTGGATGGGTGACCAAAAATTTACCATCTCGAGCCCCTCCGTGCTTCGGAAGGCACGTTAAGCCGTTTGTCCCGGCTGCATCTGCAGTCGATAGTACCCATCAATCCGCTCTGGGCCCGCGTGGTGGGTCATGGCCCAATCTCCCTATTCCATCCATAGGGAAGGCCTGTGCCCCAGCAGTGGGGATATTAATAGGCTGATGATGAAGTTACATTATAATTAAGTGAAAGTTTATTGAATGACAATAACAGTAAAAACAATGCAGTTCTTTATGAGAGCTGGAGATTGTACTAGGTTACAAAACCTGTGTTACGAACTCCAGCCTCAAAACCTTTTAGTGTCGCCGCACACGGGACACACGCCACAGCCACAAACGCCGGCACGAGAAGCTAGAAGCGGCTACTAAAGTGGCTGAAGCGCGCGACAGCGGCCGACTAAAGTAAGGGAGAGAGGGATGGGGAATCGCGCGAGTGACGTGTGGCGGCGTTTTGTATCGGTGCAATAAGTGGCCGGTGAGGGCCACAAGAAGCGAGCAACGACGATTTGCGTGTGGCGGCCACCGGCGTACCGTGTGTGGCGAGTCCATATAAAATGTATGAAAACTACAAGAAATATGCCGGTGGCGGCGTTTTGTGGTTGTGGTCGGTGGCCCGTGTGCGGCGACACTCAAAACCCGTTTGCTTGCTAGAGATTCTTTTGCATAATACAACTTATATCATAATCTACCCTATATTATAAGCAAAAGTACATATAAGTAAATGTTACATTGAATGTTACAGAACCATAGTGAATTCATAACAAAACAAATGAAAGGAAAAAAACCCGTACCGTAGAGATTTAACAACGTGATTGTCAAATAAATAAAACTAGTTTTTAACGGGTTAATGCACGAAAATTATTTATTTATTGACGTTCCGCAGTCTAACGAATCCATAACAACAATAACTAACCATAAATAATGATTGTTCTGACGATGCAGACCTGACGTACGATGTCGTTCAAAATTGTTAATGGCTGTCATTGGCCTCCTAGTATATGTGCTAGCTTTAAATTATATATTTCATAGGACAGATCAGATCAGATAGAATCCAAATGACAGTTTGACCTCATAAACTTTGGCATTTTTAAAGCAACGCGAGTTAGGCAATCAGGCCCTTGAAAAAAAAGGCTGCGAAACGTCAATAAATAAATAAAGTTTCGTGCATTAACCCGTTAAAACTAGTTTTATTTAATGAGTGATGTGTGTGAAAACCGCGAAACAAAAACGTGATTGTCGCTATATTTATGTTAAAACGGCGAAAAATAAGCGTAGGGCCCGTCTGATCGTAAGCGCTTGCTACACCCTATAGACCAGTTTCCTAAACTTACCAATACTGCTACCCCTGTAACCTATTAGGAAAACAGATTTTACCCCGACTTTAAAATCTTATCATCAGTCCAAGAAATCTTCGTCTCTACTAATGTCATCATCAGGAGAAAATCTCACCCCGCTTCCCACACTCAGCACCCCGCGGGCTCGCTAGCAAGAAGGAACGCATGCTCTATCTAGTAGTATTATTTAGATTTGACCAAATAATTAGGTTCTTTGTTACCCCTTAAGTATGGCTGATTTACCCCCGGATGGGTAATTACCCCAGGTTCGGAACCCAGGCTATAGACGCTAGCGATGCCAGAAATATCGATCACTCGCACTGTTCCCTACCCCGACACAATCCCTTACCCCGTGACACCTTAGAACCAGACCCCTCTTTCCCAGTGGGCACTTTGGGCAAGTGCCCAGGTCCCCGCGATCGATAGTGGCCCACCTCAGATAAAATAGGTCCCTAGTCCCTGTTAGATCAGCAAACGGGGGTCATAGCGGCTCCATTATCCTAATATGCCCAAGGCCTCCAATAGGACGACGCGGAAGAATCCCTAAACGGGGATCCCGCGGCTTTGCGCTAAGCAGCAGAGGGTATTCGCAGGACTTTTTTTAAAAAGATTTATATAACTAAAGACTAGGCTGTATGGGCATTGTTCCCTTTGCCTTCCCTAAAAAGGGAGAATCTTAAAAAAAGTTTGTGTTTCGTTCGAAGAGAGACGTGAAGAAGATATTTTTAAGGAGCTCAACCTAATTCAGACGCAGCAAAGACGATGTTTTTATTTATTCTTTTCGCTAGTAAGAATAGCTCGCCATTTACAATGTACATTAATTAGTTTTGTATAAATTTTGGTTAGGGTATGATGAGGTTGCAGCTATTAGGTGCGAAGACGCGGAAGATTCCCTAAACAGGGATCCCGCGGCTTCGCGCTAAGCAGCTTAGAGTGTATTCGCAGGAATTTTTTAGCGGATATTATGCCGTAAAGCGCCCGTAAGAGTTGCGGGGTCCTCGGTGGACAGCCACTGGGGGGCCCGTAAGACTTGCGGGAGCCAGGTGTGAGGTCCGTTGGCGGTGTGCCTTCTAAAGGCGCCGTCGTCTGTAAATAGCATTTTTTACCTGCGTTATAAAAAAAGGGGCCTGCAATAGGACAAAGACGGCACTGGTTAGAACCATACTCGCCGACAGAAATACAACACCACCAAAAAGTACTGGATGATAACGGACCCAGCGCGGATTGGTGGGTGATAACGGACCCAGCGCGGATTGGTGGGTGATAATGGACCCAGGGCGGATTGGTGG